CAGTTCTTTTTCAGCTTCCCCAGCCTTTCTTTAGTATCTGATGACGCTGATTGGCGGGGAATGACCGTGGCTGGAAAAGAAAGAGGGGTCCGTTGCGGCTGCAGGGTTAGTGTTAGCCTAGACTGTGGGGTGAAGGATCAGTGGCAGGGTTCAGAATCTGAACTTTCGCGGAATTTCCCATCCCATGTCCTTGCTTGACCGAGCTGACGATAAAAGGGACCAGCAACTCTGCATGTGTCAAGGCTTCTGAGAGGAAGGCTGCACGAGGCCAGCAACAAACTGCGTCCCTTCTCTTTATCTGAGGGCAGCACCATAAGGTACCTTAGCTTGCCACTTCGCAGCCTTCTCGCCCAGCCCTCGGCTGGTTGCCCTCTTTGGAAACATCATGCCATCAGCTATCCAAATGGAGACACGCCAGGGGCTTCCACGGGCACTTGCTCGGATCCCGGGTTACGGCAGAACAGACCGAGGTAGCTTGGCAGGAGCTATCTGTTTCTAACACGCGTTGCTAAAAGTCTTGTCTGTTTTGCCTTGTGAGCGTGATGGAAACAAAACGTCGTCCGAACTCCTGAACGATAGGCTAAAATCGTAGTTGAACGGATACCGTGGAGCATATGGAGAGAAGCCCTTGCCAACGCCGTTATCGCATCGGCATGCGGATCTCCAGCGTCCTCCACGCAATCCCACGTGTGTCGGAGCTTTGTATGGACTGGGTTGACTGTGCAGCTTGCCATTTGCCATTGGCCTCTGTTAGCAAGGACGCAAATGGAAAGGGGTTAAAGTACACAACTTCCAAAAGGGTAAGGAGGAAAAGGGGGCGCCCTGCCTCTGCCAGCATCACTTCAATGTGTGACTGACACTTCTTCACTCATGTTGTATTCTCTGCAGTCGGCCGGATGCAGCAATCATGTTATTCGGGGCTCTTCATGCAAGCAAGGTGAAGAGATTGCTTCTTATCCTTAGTGCTGTCCATTGGCGGATTGACCGTTGAGATCGAGGTCCTGATTTTAGCCTGCCGACACTGCGCACGGTGTTTGCCCCCGTCGTGTAAGAGAGACGACCGAGCGTGAAGTCGTACGATCCGTATCCCTGCTCCGCAGTGCCCTGTCGTGTAAGAGAAGCGGGGTGATTCCGCTGATAACATCCGATGAAATTAGCTGGGACATCTGCAGCAGCAGAGCCCTCTCCATCGGGACCTCATAAAGATCTGTTCGCCCTGCCACACAACCACCGCCAAGCCTTGATGGGACCTGCCAAAGTACCGAGCCCTGTCCATTGTTCACCTTCCATGTCACTGGGTGCGGATAAAGTGAAGAGCATGAGAGGCCATTTCCGTTTATACTTTGTGCAATGGAGAAGCAACGGCGGACGATGGCGATAATGGTGGGGATAGAGTGGTTCTGAAAAGCCCTTTACTCGGGTTAAGCACTGAGCGATTGACCGTGCGTTGGGATGTTGGTCGGTAATGGCAGCTCAAGTTGTTTTAGCGTTGTGTGCCACATGCTGACGGCCTGTCCGTGCTTCCCTTCAGAGATGCTCATGCTGCGGTTCTGAGTCGAAGAATCTCATGATGATCCACTGTCAGTCTTCAGCTCTGCCCGTGGCCCACCGCTGGGCTCCCTGCAGGCCGGGTTCGGTTTTCGGGTGCCTTGCATATGTTGCGTCGAGCAGGACCCCCAACGTCCATCACACCGGTCAGACGTTCAGAGAAACACATCGCTGCTACCCTGGCGTGTAAGCGAGTCCCATGGTTGCGTTTGACGCTCCCCAAGTGCCTTTTTTCCAGTGGCGGTTGACCTACCCGTGATAGGGCCTCTGGTTCGCCCTCTTGAACGGTCCCGAGGTTTTGATAAAGATCACCCTGCCGCTCCCCAACTTTCCTGGATCCCCCGTCCCCGTCCGTACCGTCTGTCTGGATCTTCCTCACGGTCAGGCCTGGTCTTGATCGACCAGCAGAGCACCCATCTTGGGTCGACAACACCTTTCGATTCCCACACCTTTTCTTCTTGTGACGAAGACGACGAGGACGACCATCCTTCGACAACATGTCTGCCACTGAAGCTTCTCCCCCTTTCGTGGAGCCCTATCCTGGGTATGCGGCCGAAAATAAGGGCCCAACCATCCTAGGCGTCACGTCGGCCATGACGTTGCTGGGCATCGTGTTTGTGGCGGCAAGAGTGTACAGCAGAGTGATCTCGATGGGCAAGATCTACCTCGACGACTACATCACTCTCTTTTCCATTGTAAGTTGATGTCGAACGAAGCAAGCCACGCTTGGATGGACTGGAAGCTGACCCGGGGCCCCCGTTAGACTCTCTGTGTTATATATGTTGGACTGGCTGGTGCCGCCATTTCGCATGGTGGTGGTAGACATCTTGATACCCTGAGCCCTGAAGATGTCAAAAAAGCCCTCTATTACACCGTCATCTCGTTCGTACCTGGCGTGTCGTCCTTTACGATCCCCAAGTTTGCCGTGGTGGTTTTGCTGCGCAAGATCTTGAACCCGGGCCGGGCGCACCGCATGGTCATGTGGGTGGTTTCGGTCATCTATGGTCTCCTCGCCATTGGCATGCTCGTCATCAACTTTGCCCAGTGCACCCCAGCTCGTGCGCAGTGGTTGGACGCCCCAGGCAAATGCTGGGACCGTCAGATCACGGTCGACTATGCCATGGCCCTCGGAATTTATTCGGTTCTTTTCGACTTTTATCTCGCCATCTATCCCACCGTCGTTCTTTTCCAGCTGCAGCTCAACTGGAGGAAGAAGCTGGCTCTTTCGTCGTCGTTGGGCTTCGGATACTGTGCCGGTGTCATCACTTGCTACAAGTGCTACACGTTGAGTGGCCTCCTCGAGGTCGTGGACTTTACGTATACCGTCGACGATGTGGTTCTCTGGACAAAGTAAGCAACTTGACGGAACATGTGGACGGACAATGCTAACCTGGCAAACAGTATCGAAGCAAACTGCGTCATCATTGGCGCCTGCATTCCCTGCCTCTACCCCCTCATCAGGAAGCTATTCGGCAACTCTGCTCTCGGGGGCACCTCTGGTCCAACGGGCGGCAACTCCAAATCAGGGGGTGGGTACCGTGGAAACACTGGACGCACCAACACTGTCGTCACCATCGGATCTTATGCTAAGAACAAGGGACGCTCGCGCAGCAAGTCCATCTCGCAGCTGGACACCATCAACGACATGGATGCCGACAGCAAATACATCATCCTCGAGGAGCGCTCGTTCCACTGCAGCACCGCCGAGCTGACGGAACCGGATGCCGTGGCGGCGAATGTGCAAAATGAGCACAGGAAGCCCGAGCGGGTAGCAAAACCAGACGGATGGTGATTTGGAGACGCGAAGGCGAAGCGGAAGCCAAAACAACAACAAAAAAAGGGGGGGGGGGGTCACCTCAATGGTGCGAGTGTTATACTCGATGTCTGTCGTTCAAAAAACGTGTATTATGTATTATGTATATGCCATTGCCGACTTGTGTTTTCTTATGATACCCCGGAGATAGCAGTATAAAGACGCAAGTAATGTATTTGAACAGTCAATGGGTTCTGACGCGACGCTTGAGAATTTGTCATGCTGCAGGTACCCGGCACAGTGCGGTGATGTCGTCCGAGTCCAGTCCGTTTTCCAGACCTTCCATTAGCTGCCTGGAAATCGGACCAACATCTCCTCCAATCCTTCTTTTGTCTCATGCCATCACAAACATTATCGGCTCGAACCGGGCCGTTGAATTTTGAGCATTTTCGACTTGCCTTGTGCTTATCATCGGTGCATACTGCATGGCCCATGTCTCCCCGCAACGCCAACGGCGAAGCGCAACGTCTGGCTTGGCAGCTCCGACGTCCCTCGTTGACCTTCCCGATCTGACTCCGAACCGTGCTGCCATACTTCCTGCCCCATCCCGACACCAGCATGCCATAGCAACAACACGCAAAAATACCCGGGAAAAAAGATGATCGCCATGTCGTGACCAGCGCGGGGAAGGTGCCATGAGACGGCACACTGTACACCCGACCTGCCCTGGGCGTGCTCCGGGACGGACGCCCACAAATAAAAGGCGTCCTGGCCTGCCCGTGTCGCCTTGTTCTCGTCTCGTTGGTCCCTGTCGGCAGCATCGTTATTCTCTAGACCAACGGTATCATGAAGTTCCTCCAGACCGCCGCCGCCATCACGGCGTTGGCCTCGGCCGTGGCCGCCAATGCCGGGCCCGGCAAGCAGAAGCCCTTGATCAGCTCCAAGAAGCTCCAGTCCGAAATCACCACCAAGGGGTACGTACCCATCTACTAGAGCAATTATCTAGCCCCCCAGAGTGGAGACTAACGCTTAGCATCTCTGCAGTCTCATGTCCAATCTAAAACGGCTGAACACGATTGCGTTCGCGAACGGTGGCAACCGCGCTTTCGGTCTTCCTGGCTACGCCGCCTCGGTCGATTTCGTGTGGTCGCAAATCTCCAAGGTCAAGGGCGCCAAGGCGTGGAAGTAAGATTTCCCGGCCCTCTTCAACTTTGTCGAGTCCATCTCCCTCAAGGTTGACGGCGAGGACATCTACGTCTATGGCTTGACCTACTTTCGGATGTAGGACGGAGTCGTTGCAGAAGAGCTTCCACATTGGTTGTCTTGCCCGTCTCTGCGTTGTCCATGGCAGACACGCAGACCTGTGAGCCCAGTCGTGTCCGGGCGAGATGGAGGTGGGACCTTTCGATGCCAAGACCATCGCTCGCAGGGTCTTGCCCCCATCTGCGTCATGGCAGCGTTGGCTTGGCGACCAACAGACCCACAAATACCCACTTTACTTGGCCGTCTGGGAATAGCTTCAAAGTTTAACTTGGCTTCCCAGATTTCGCCATCTTTGTCAGGCAAGCACGTAATATATTTTTATGGAAAAGACTACCAAACTCAGACAGCCAAGAATTACATTCCATATGTGTTACGAAAGATAAGACCACAGAAATTTGACTTGGCTGGCAACCCGACTTGAAAATCATCGAGACCCTCAGATTTTTGGTTCGTGGACGATGGGCACATGGACAGATGTGGGAGTGGCCTGCTCCTGAAAGACTGTCGAGGACTGCTGCTGCTGTACGGGCTGGCTGGAGAGTGTCTTTCGCACATCATTGTCAAGGAACGGCCGAACCAGCCCGAGGCGAAGCCGGCCAAGCCCTTCCATGCGATCCGCACTCTGAGAAGGGATTCTCAAGACAGTTTCCCTGTACAGAGTTCCGGTCGTGATATCAAAGGAACAGGCAATGGCACGCTTCATGCCGCCTTCGCTGCCACCGAGTACCAGAACCGTGGGAGGACGGACAGCATAAAACAGTGTGACGGTCATGTTGTAGGTGTCGACAAGCGTGAACACCTTCATCTGGCCCATTTTGCTGCGGCTCATGTCCTGACAGGAAGCCACGGTCGGATGGTAGCTACAATACCGCCCGCCACTGGCGTTGCTTGAGCAGTGCGAACAGGGGCTGGTAGGGTCTGTCGATTCGACATGATACGTGTCAATGTTCCCGTCGAGACTGAGAACCGGCACCGCATTCTGGATACCAGTTCCAGGGTCGATGGCGTCTTGGTACTTGAACTTGACCGACCGCTCCCGAGTGACTCTGCCCTGGGTGTGTCGAGAAAGAGGAGAACCCCATGTGCTCCACTGAAGACGAGCATGACTACCTCTGGTACCAAACAGCTTCTCTTCAATCGCCTCGATGGGAACATAGCCTTCAATTCCAAAGAAGCACGGCTCCACTTCCCAAAGCTTTCCAGAGTAAATGTGCCAGAGGAAATAGGGGGCCGGCAGAATGAAGAAGAGAAGAGTGATGATCGTGATAGCAAGACCCGCTTGGTAGGCTGGGTTGGTAGGCGCTGGGTAGTAATACATGGAGTTCGGCATCGGAGGCGGCGGTTGAAACAGGGCTGCAAGGATGACGCCGATAAAAAATACCAAAGGGGACCAGACGAGGAAGTAGATGAAGAATTCACGCTTCGCCGTCAGCTTCCGCAGCGTTCGAACCCGCGTGAACTCTGACCACTGAATCTGGGCGCCCTTGGCATCGTCTATCACCACCGTGTCATTTTCGCCAATGGCGCAGATCTGCGTGTTTGGGTACACATCCCACAAGCTAGCCTTGTACTGGTCTGTCATGAGCTCCCAGTTCTGCCCGGGAAAGTCGGGCAAAAGACAGATCAGACGCTCCATGAGACGATCACTGTCCTGAGGCAGAGACAAACGAGCAAAGGCCTGGAAGGAAGTGTCGGTGCTGTCGATGGGAGGCCGGATACGCAAGAGACCCATGAGGACGTAAACACGGTCGCCTGGATGCATCGCACGGAAATGGCGGCTCATCAAGCACTCTAGAGCAATCTTGACGAGCTCGAGACGGCTGAGGTGAAGGTTGCCGTAGTGCTCGATCAGCTGGCGCGAGTTCAAGGCGTCTGCCCATGCATAGGTTGGGAAAAGGGCTTTGGGTATCTTGGTGAATTCGTATGGCTTCATGGAAGGTCGAGTGCCGCAGTGCCAGACGGTGACTGTCTCACCCTTGCTGAGAACGATCTCTGGTAAAGTCCAGACTCGTTCACCCCACACACGGAGTGCGTTGGGAACCCAGGGTCTTTGCAAGTTACCAACCACAACGGCCACATGCTGTGCGGTTCGAATAATATCGCTGATACTGTAGGTCTAGGTACGCAAAGTCAGTCAGACATATACATCCAGCACAATGACTGGGAGTATCGAGCTTACATCTTGGTTGGCAAGGAGCTCCTTCTCTTCTCCGTCCACATTAACCACTCTTCCAAGGTGGTCTACCATTTTCGTCGGCGGCATACAGTTTGCAGAGCACCAAAAGGCCTTGGGGTGCTGACGTAGATCCTGCTTCTCAGGCTCGAGCCCAAAGTACTTGACAGACGCCTTCACGCCCACGGAGAGAAGAGCGTCGAGGTCGCCCTCGTTGTTGCGGGGCAGCCCGGACTCGTTGTCCCTCGACTTGAGCTCATAGTGTGCCGAAGACCAGGCAATCATGATGAATGGGGTGATGTCATTGTCAGGCACCGGGCGTGTTTCAAACGAGAACAACTTGCGGCCATCAGGAAGCTCTGTCTGCACCAGGTAGTTGAGGAACCTTGGCCGAAAAGTCCGGTATGACGAGAGTGCCGCCGTGGTATTCCAGGAAGTGTACCTGTAGAGCAACTGAGCGACTTGGTGCCGATTCTCCAGCATGTTGCGGGCCAGGCGAGGATACTTTAGGCCGCGGTACATCAGCGGCAGATATTTGGTAGGATCCTTTCCTTCAACGGGGCCTGAGGGGTCATACACCGTCCACGACATGAGAAAGATTGCCACAGACGGGATCCACATTCCAATGACAATGCACCAATCTTCAAAGGTGAACTTGGATCTGTGACCCCTCCTCTCGGCCGGTATAAACCGAAAGGGGAGGTTGCCTACCCGCAAGAGAAACGGTGTCACATTTCGAATAGGCGTTCGCTTCCAGGTGCAATTGGGGTCGACAGAGCCAAGGAGACAAATGGAAGAAGGTGCTTGGACATAAAGTTTCTCAATCTTTCCGGTGAATGGGTCGATGTAGCATTCGAACGGCTGGTTGTACACCTTTTCCCTTCCCAAACCATCTGTGACGAAAAACGGTGTCGAGTCGGCATACTCGAGGTTGGGGCGAAAGTACAGGTGAGGTCCACCAAACCAACGCCAGGAAAAGCCCCCTTTGAAGAAGGCAGCCCACCAACTGGACACATCCTGGTATGGGTTAGGATGGGAGCTCGCCCCTGAGCCCGTAGAAAGAGGTTTTTCTGACATGGCGGTACCCGGTGTGTCTAGAAGCAAAAGAGTCTTCGTCGCGACTTGGGCTTGGAGTTGTTGGTAAAAGCCGGACGTGCTGCAGTATTGCCTGTCTGAATTAGAATGATATCTATAGGTAGTGTGAAAGTTGACTCACTGTTGGCAGGGAGAGCTCCTGATCCTGGTGTGTTTGCAACTGGTCGGGGGGCGGGAGGATATTGGGGAGGGCGTGAGACGCTCTGGGAACTCGAATGAACTTGAGCTGGAGGGACAGCCTCGTTCATCAAAGTCAGGAACCCGTTGATCCGATCACGATCGGGCTGGATGTCTGCACCGTGATAGTCTACCTGGCGTCCAGTGGATGCCATGAGTTGAGTAAGCCTGGGAAGAGTGACAAGGAGAAAAGAACAAAGGCAACAGATTTTCATGAAGAGAGGGAGGGTAAGAGTATTTATCTTGAGAGCCTTGTTAGATTGGTAATGTGACATTGATATCTATTGATCGTCTCGCGTCCGGAGCCCTGGACAAAATATTAGGTCCACCCAGATGATATTCCCTGCGCACTTCAGCAACGTCTCCGTCATATCTTGAAAAACCCATCTATTACAATGGTCACTTACCTGATACATAGTTTCCTGTCCCCGGGAAACGCCGCAGTGTTCGCATGAGGCTCAGCTGTCTCGGGAAACAATCTTTCCCAGGGTCTGGAGCTGGGACAGGGAATGGCATAATTGCGGTGTCAATATTGCTTCTTTTCTTTGCATCTGCCGTGGTCTAGACGCCCAACATGTGGTTAACCATGTTGTTCTATTGGTAGCCTGATGGTAGTCCGCAAGCATGGTGTGTGACACAGCAGGCACCGCTCAGCCCCTCGCCCACAGTTGGCAATTACATTGGTGTGTTCCCAAGAAAAGACGCCCAAAAAACCACCTCCTACCCCCTATCTCCCACTTTCCATCTCCGATATTTCTTCAGCTTCCAATGCAAGCGCTTCTCTCTTCTGGCTTGTAATCAACATCACATTGACCATGGCATCAACAAATCAACAAGATGGTTTCCTGCGGTTTGAGAGATGGATAAGGCAACAAGGTACCATTCCTTCTGAGTATTTACCCTGTATCGCAAAACTAATTGTTTCTGGCTTGAAAAGGGGACGACCGTCCCAGCAGAATACAGTCAGATGTAACCGAGTTGACCAGATGGGGAGGGTACGACTTTGATATGATGTGCGTGCTCACACGGCTGGACTGTCGCGTCACGCCCAATTTCCTCTTTTAGAATCCGTTATCCATGGATGGAAGACTGATAGTCCCTTGCAGCTTTGCGCCCCTGGACGGCAGATACCGAGGTCCGCCATCGGGAGAATATGACCAATTAATTCAGCTGTACGACATACCCGACGACTTTGTGGCCGAGCGTGAGCGGAGTGTCACACACTCATTTGGACACCAACTGGGAGAAAATGGAGTAGAGAGTCAGTCCGCTAGCCTTATCTACAGTGAAATAATGGATGTTTGCTGACGCTGGATTGCAGCTCTTTGGATGCACTTTCTGGTCAAAATTCCAACAACAGCCTCCCAACCCAACCAACATGAGCCTTGGCTAAAATGGGGCTTTGTCATGACATGGAAGCCGAAGCCTATGACCCCAACTGAACGAGACACTGTGGAACCAGAGAACTCAGAGTACTGTGTCACTTTCCTTGCCTTCCAGCCTCCCCTTGAGTCTATCCAGGCTTTGGTGACATTCATTTTGTCTTCAACCTGGAACCATGTCAACAACGATCCCTACGTGATTGTGGACGTGGCACTTTCATCTTGGTATCAGAGAGTGGATAGTATTGCTTGGGATGTTACTCACCTTGTACGGACTGACGAGAAAAGGTTGTTTGAGCGGGCAAAGATACTTGAAACGACTGACCCTAGCTCACACTCTCGTCACCTCTCAAGCCTGGATTTACACGGAATTCATACCAGTGCTAAGAACGCCATCTACCTGACTGAAGCCTTGGACGCTATCCTTAGAGCAGTTGACAGGGTACTATCGGCACACAAGGAGCTTCTGCATGATCCAAAAAACAAGTGGAGAACGGAGGATCGGACATGGGAAAACACCCATCGATTGTTGAGATACCGGAGCGAGCTTTTCAACTCCACCAGGCTCAGGATTGTTAGTTCTCACGAAAGGATCAAGAATGCAGTGGATCTGGTATGTACAAATGAAGCATGTGTGGAACAGAGACTCATACAAACTCTTTTTAGGCTTTTCACTTGAACAATGCCCAAGATAGTCGTATCGGCATGATGAACAGCCGCAGCGTCCGGATCATTTCTATTGTCGGCTTGATATTCATCCCTTTCAGCGCCGCAAGCTCTATCTTTGGCACACAATTCTTCAGTTTCCCGGACAATAATGAGCACCACATGCAGGTCAATCAAGACATCTGGTATCTCTTTGCTACAGCCATCCCTGTTACCATTGGCATTCTCCTACTCTGGAAGGCAAGCGAAAACGACCAGCTGCGATTACCGGGCGGGCTAGCTTCACTCTTTGGCTGTTCAAGTCAGCCAAGGCCGCGCGATTCTCCTTCGGGGGAAAGGGGCATTTTGCTAAACGATATGGAACAGCAACGTGCTTGAGTTGGAAGACAAGCTGGCATGAAAGGATAGCCATCACCCCTCATTGAACAAATTACATGGCATTGTAAGCCATTGCTAATGCCTAGGTCAAAAGATCAACTGTTCGATATCTTTAAGTCGAAGTCCCTATATGAATGGAAAATTTACAGTAGAATGAATCATACCTATCATACACTCAGAAACTTATATTGTTACAATCTCTTCTCACGAATCCCAAATCGGTCCAAAGGCAGGGATTCTTCTCGCCTCCAACTGATACACGACCCTCTTAGTTGTCCTTGCATTGCTGACAATGCATACACACTCGGCGCCGCTCTCATGATACAGCTCCCAAGCCAAGTGAACCATGTCTGGTCTTCCCATACTGTCCGTATCCCAGATGACAGCTCTATCATCACACCTCTTCACTTCATCAATTATACCCTGGCCATATGTCCTGAGTGGGTTTTTGGTGCTCCACAGGATCCGGCAAGGAACCTTGCGCTCCATGATGACTGGAAGACAAGGACCGATTCCAGAGCCCGTGGCCACCAAAACAATCTTCTTGAAAAGAGGTGCAATAGCCAACACTCCCGAGGCTGGTTCACCCCTCGTCCAAAGATATGTTGGTGGGTTGTCAATCATGCGACCTGTCCAGTCACCAGCACGGGAGACAAGAATGGAGAGTCCTGGCTTGTTGTCCGGCTCAGGGATAGCCGCGAAAGCGTGCCATTCCACCAAGGGGCGGTCGGTGATGCGGATACCCAAAGATGAACATTCTCGTGGGGTCTTGAAGTCAAAGTGCAAGCGGACTGCATGGCTTGACAGGGGTTCGGCAACCACCTTGACGCGGCGGAGACGCATCCACGGAGCGGCGATGGAGAGTGTTGTCAAGCTGAGGAGATACAACGCAGGCGTCCGAGCAAGTGCGGCACCAAAGGGCTGGGTGCTGGGCAACGCCGCGGTGACGACCATGAGATGAGCCCAGACCAAAGCCAGGGCGGTCCAACCCGCGAAGCGGTGCGTCCACTCGAACTGATCATGCATTTTGGCACGGATGCTAGGCCATGCCATTGCCAATATGGCGACGAGGAGTGCAAAGATCAAGTAAGTCAACACCAGGACCGCAATTCGCTGAGACGGCTGGGTAGACCCTGTTGGAGCAAGACGGCGAGTGGCAGCCACAGTAAACACCAGCCACCAAAGCGAAGCGGCAACAGATGCTCCGGAATGGACCCCGCCGTAGTGATAGACACGAGCGAGGTGTCGTCGGATAGCCAGGGGTGCGGATGTTGGCATTCGAGTTGCAAGCCAGAAAACCACATTCACGACATAGTCCTGGCGAAGCAAGACAGATGCCAGCAAGTTTGCACTCACGGCCGTGGCTAGATTGTCGAGGGGCAGCTCAAAGTTGGACTCTCGGCTCTTCCAAAGCATGACAACAAAGGCAATGGCGTTGGCAACAAAAATAATGCCAAAGAGCTTGCGGTAAGCCGATAGGCCGCGGTGACGCAGCCAGCGCCAACCATGAAACCCCTTTTTGGGCGGGATGGGTGCAACGGGGTCGGGCTTTTCGTCGGTAGCCGAGCTGATGCTGCTCGGAACAGACGCCTTTTCCACGTCGGTGATGCTCGGAGCCAGAAGCCCAACTTCTGCGGGTGGAGTTGTCCGCTGAGAACCCGAGTTGACAGCGGTCGCCAACTCCCGCAGCACACGCTTGTCGATCTTGCCGTTCGCCGTGAGTGGAATTGTTGGGCCAAGATAGTGCCAAACTTTGGGGACCCCATAGAAAGGCTGCTGGGCACTGACTGCCTTGTGCAATTCGGCCTGGTCAATGGGGTGAATGGCAGAGTAGAAGCCCCACAGACTCGTGTCAATCTTGAGAGCGCAACCCTTGATCACATCCGGGCAAGACTCGATGGCGCGGGAAACACCGTCTAGCTCAACACGGAAGCCATCGATCTTGACTTGATCATCACGACGACCAAGTGTCTCGAGGCATCCGTCCGCATTCCATCGGACCAGGTCCCCAGTGTTGAACATCATCCTGCCATCTCTGGTGAACTTGTCGAGCTTGTATCTCGTCGCAGTCAATTCGGGCAAGTTGAGGTACCCCCTAGAGACACCGACTCCTCCCACCCACATGACACCAGCCTCGCCAATCTTGACTGGGTTCTCGTCCTCGTCCAGAATGTAGAGTGTAGTGTTGGGATTCGGCTTGCCGATGGTCAATGGTCCGCCAAGCTTGTGGACGTGGACGGTGTTGAGGACACTGATTTCCGTGGGACCACAGACATTCAGGAACCTCGTCCCAGTGTGCTCCGCCCAATGATCAGCAAGGGTCTTTGGGCATGGCTCGCCGCCCACCACGATCGTCTTGAGGTTGGGGAAGTCTTCGTAATTGGGGAACCGCTTGGTCGCTACGGACGGGGTGGAGATGACGACGTCGACTTGCTTGAGGCACTCGTTCCAAAGGTCGTTTCCGCTGCCTCTGATGTACAGAGTTCCGCCGTTCATGACGGTCGCTAAAATTTCCCAAGCGCCTAGGGTTGTTAGTTGGAAACTCGGGCCTAGAATGGATGGCTACTTACCCATGTCGAAAGCCACGCTCAACTGTTGTGCCACCTTTGTGCCGACAGTGATCTCTAGCTTTGCAGGCTCAACCAACAAGGAATTGCAAACACCATGATGTGTGACATCAACGCCCTTTGGCCGCCCAGTCGTACCCGAGGTGTAAATAACGTAGGCTCCATCCTCAGGCTGAACGTCCACGTTTGGTCTGCTGGCAACGCCTGATGTCCAGATGTCGCTGGAGAGGTTGAGACTGAGAATGGCTGGTCCCTGGCGGCATGCCTCGGTGGCCTTGTCGGAGTATTTGGGCAAACAAAGGACGATATCTGCCGAAGAGTCCGAGACTACGTGACTGAGGGCTTCGATTGGAATAATGCCGCCGTCAATGGGAACGTACTGCCCTCCTGCCTTGAGCACAGCGAGGATAAAGATGACCATCTCGATGGTACGCGAGTACACCAATACCGCTCGCGCCCCTCTCTTGAAACAAAACCGAGTGAGAAGCTCGTTGGCCAGTATGTTGGCATGGCGGTCAAGTTCTCCGTATGTCATTGAGGTGCCATCGAAATGTCGGACCGCTGTTGCGCCGGGGTGTTGTGAAGCTATCGACTCGAATGCATGGTGGACTCTTGTGAAGGGGAGTGGGATGGTTTCTCCACGTCCAAAGCGGTTGAAGAGAAGTTGGTCCTCTGTCGATAGGGACTCAAGAGAGTAAAGCGAGCCTGGTTCAACCTGTGAGCCCATGTTGACGACTATGATCGTTGGTGACCGGCATGATTGGGTGATAGAACAGTTTTCAGTTCCAGGGACACTGTCCCCTTATAATGGAGATGGCAATTGGTGATACAAGGCTGCTTAGAAGGTTCCTATCTCAGGTATGTAACCATCCACACTACCATTCTACGCTGATTAATCACTACCTAAGCATGTCCACACAGATTCCATCATGGTATGCTAGGCCAGGACGTAACTTGTTAGCGAATGGAACCCTTCCACATCTGCAGCACGTCGCGTCTTACCATTCTGGGGACGGCGATTCTGGAAGTCTTCCCATCTAAGCATCTCCCTTCTCCACAAAGCCAACTTAATTTCTTGCTCAAACAAAAATTTTCAACAAATTTTTCAAAAGTTGCTCCGTTCTTACTCTTTGCTCGGATAGTCTCTTGAGGTGTGAGGCCCTCCCAAGAAGGGTATCTTGTTCATACAGAAGCCTGAACCTTCCAGTGCATAGGTAGCCAGCTCTATTGTGCTCTAACATCCATCCATCCGCTTAATTAACGAAAACTCAAAATCGGCAGATCACGCCAAGATGATGACACCGAAAGCAAGACCCGGTCGTGGCCGTTGAGGACTGTGAGGTATAATGGTACTATCAGTGGGGATTAGGTAGCTGTCATCTCAACCCGAAACACTCGGTCACTCACCCCGCTTGCACCATGATACTAATTATCACCTAATCTCGGCCCTGATCCAGATTTGGCAGTTCAGTTATGTGTAGTCCCCTTCAAGACATGCTGCCAAGATGCCATCGACTTATACGCGCAGTAGTATCGCGGCATCTTCCCATTCGGTCCGGGGAACCTGGCATGGGCCAAGACGTTTGCTGCAGGGACAGCTTCGCTAACCTTCTCTACCGAGTTTTGTCATGCTGATGCAAGCACGTTGGGATAGCATCTTTCCTCGTAATAAAAGTTGCCAACCAGCGGGTAAAGAATGAGTGGTGTTACAGAACACGGGTGTTATTACCTGACCGGGTAGCGCGTTAGGGTATCTGCCAGTGACACTCGTGGAAAAAATGCCGTTGTGCACCTACCACAGCAGTGGATCAGATCTTTTAGATCCTTAGAATGTGGCAGCGCCGTTTGAATGTAACTGTAATTTAGCCCCACGATGTTGAAGTGCCGGCCGCCGCCCCCGGTCACTCTAACCATCCAGTCTGTGCACCAAACGCCACCTCATCATGTGAAGATAAATCGGGTAAGCAGCGACTTGGATCCAAGCCGTGTGGATGTTGAGAATATCGGATGATAAGTGGTTGGAATATCTCATCCAAAGTATTAAGATGACACAATTGATGCAGCACTTGGACCACCGCCGACGCCGTTCCAATCCAATTTGAACTTTTCTTCCTCTGCAAAATGGATTCGTTGAAAGATGTAAAGCTGAGTCTGGATGACTCGACTGGTGTTGCCATCATCCGTCTTGATCGTCCAGCCAAACGGAACGCCTTCTCGCAGAACACGATTCACGAGCTGGTCTCGGCTTTGAGTCACCTTGATGCTTTGGACTCTGTACGAGCTGTCATTTTAGCAGGCAACCCGGACGGACCATTCTGCGGTAAGAGATACTTCTTTGAGTGACACAATTTTCGGCCAAACTAACAAGTTGTGGCTTATTAGCGGGCATGGACATCAATGAGCTATCACAACTCGACACCTTGGCTGCTCACGAACGTTCGTTTCTCAAAGATCTGACGGATGCGTTTGCACAATTCACAAAGCCCATCATAGCCGCGGTCATCGGACTTGCTGTGAGTGTACCTATCACCATTGCTCACGAGTGATTATAGCTGACAGAATCACAGCTTGGTGGAGGGTTCGAATTGGCATTGGCTGTATGTTGTTACGTCCCCATTCTTTTCGTTTTGTATACTGACTTGCACACAGGCAGACATCATCTATGCTGCAGACGATGCACTATTTGGTCTCCCCGAAGTCAAAATTGGCACCATCCCTGGCGCTGGGGGTACACAAAGATTGGCCAGAGCGTTGGGCAAGCACAAGGTGCGTAAGCCGCGCTCGACGTGTTTTACAGTGACATTAGATTGGCTAACGCAGGGTGACTTATAGGCTATGGAATTGATCTTGACTGGCGATTCCATCTCAGCTTCGGAGCTCGCCCAGTACGGACTTGTCAACAAAGTCTTTCCCCGTCAGGAAGTGGAGAGTGAAAGTATTAAACTCGCTCGGAGACTTGCGACCAAATCAGCCCCCGTGCTCAAGTTCGGCAAGAAAGCTGTTCTCACCGGTAAGCATTCACTGTGAAGCCCCCTTGTCATGTTTGTGTCTGACTGTGTCATTAGCCGAGAACACACATCTTGAAGCCGGCATGTCGTTGGAAAAGTCTTTGTATTATTCGACCTTTGACTTGGGAGATTTCCGTGAAGGACAAGCCGCGTTCTTGGAGAAGAGATCTCCACGTTTCAATCTTGGATAAGCGAATGGTGGTTTCTCGGAGAGTTATTGCAGCCTAGACTAGCAGTTTTTTATCATCGATTGCAAATCTCTACAGCTCGTGGCCAACAATTTTCTCTCAGCAGCACACACGCTTCTCCAAAAACCCAAATCCCTCTTGTACAGCTTCACGGCCTTGCGGGCATCTCTTTTCCCAGCACTTGCCAATGTCAAAGAGGTGTTTTGCTCCACCGTCAATAATTCTCAGCTCAGCATCAACACCTTTCTCGCTCAGAGCCTCGTACATCCTCTCGGCTTGCTGCCAGGGTATCAAGTCATCGTCACGCGGGTGGATGATAAAGGTTGGCGTGTGGTACAGGTTCTGCTGAACCTTGGCCAAAGGAGACACGGCCAAGACCTCCTCTCGGGTAACTTGTCGGTGTCCATCGAGTGCGGCAACACCATGGAGAAGAACGTCAAGTGTCTTCCCTTGATGGTTCATATACAAGGCCAACTTGGAGCGGGGATCCTGGGTCGACATCCACCCACCCGCCGCCTGAGCCGATGCTGGTGGATTGTATGCCGTGATGGGCCGCCGATCAAAGACCATGGAGTCCCAGTCAGCTTCAACCGGGAAAACCTTCTCTGATCCCTCGGGAATGTTTGGTTGTGTCCAAAAGGGATCCCCGTAATCGGAAGGCGAGTAAAAGGCAAGAACAGCTTCGGGAGGCCTAATGTCGAAGTCTGCCGACTTCCATGCAAGGCTCATTGCCAGGAGGCCACCTGTACTCCACCCAACCGCAACAACCTTTTCACCATCCAGGTGAATGTCCTTTCTAGCCAGAGGGAGAGAGGGGAGGACAATGCCCCCCTCTAAAGGCACATCCAGTTGCCCGTCGCCCCCCGTATACAGAACCAGAATTGTATCGCCCGACGTCGTCATCAAGCGCAACTGGAAGTAGTCCGTTTCGGTAATTACGATGTCCTCGATCTCGATCCAGAAGTTGAAAAGGGGTTTCAACCAAAGCGAGCCCGAATCGAGGGCATGATCCGACACATGCGGACGCCAGCCACGGGCAGGACCCCCGTGGCGACAGTCAAAGGATACACACTACACAAAAAGGGCTCACCATTATCCGAAACCTTCAACGCTGCCGTCGTCATGTCGAACTCGACAGCTTTTGCCGGGGAGGTCAAGAGGACGATAAATCAAAGCGGTATTCTGTCCAACTCCAGGGAACAAGCTTTCAAGGTTACCGTGCAAAATGCACCGCTGGAGTATGTGGAAAGGGAAGACGAGACAGGGGGGTCAGAGCTCCCATCTGTGACGAGCGCAACAGGCCCGGAGAGATCTCCAAGGTCCCTCCGTCTATCCCGTCTGATCCAGCTTGGAGGGCGGAGGAGTGTAAGCAGGCCTCATCAGGGAGCGATGCAAGATTGCAAGTCGCAGAAGGGGGGGCGTTTGAAAAAAAAGGGAATATGGCGGTCCTAGAGCTGTTGCAAGTTGTGCGGGTCACATTCGTTGAGGGACTCATTGTTGTCGGTAGTGGCGAGGGTAACCATTCAGGGAGGAAAGGTCATGGGCAACAGTCTGACAGTCCCACTTGACGACATCCCATCGTCACACACCTTACCTTATTTATATAGTTGTCTCATGCACATCTTCCAAGATCTGTCTTAGCGTTCAAACCTTGAGCCGTAACTCTATCCTGCCATGTTTTAACAAGCCAGCACGCTAACAGGGTTCAAACTCTCATGGGCATGGTGATGCCTATGCCCTCAACCTCGCCACAGTACCAGTACCACAACTTCCCCTGTTCGTCCTACTTTCCACGGGAACCTTCCCGCGACGTAGCTAAATTAATGCCTCCCTGAAAGATCCGATGCTGATTTCATGAGAGTACCCCAGCCGGTGGCCGGAGTCAGCTCGACACGTGGCTCTACCAGTCTGCCTGACCAGGTAGGTACTGCGCGCCCTTCCAGGGTGGGCAACAAGCCAAGCGAAGCGGGCCGGACTTTTACGCAAGTCAATTCAAGCCCAGGGTAAGCTTGACTTGCCGACTTGCCAAGGCCTGTAAGGTTTTTTTCCCCCTATAGATACTGATGATAGCTGGGTTATAGTAGTGAAAGTGTTAAGTTAGTCCCTGTATTTTACCAAAAATCGGGCCGGAAAAACCACCGGAAGGCTTGCAAATCGGCAAGTGAAGTCAAGCCGGAGGCAGACATTAAACGCTCACGGTATTTTGCCTCTTTTCGCTTTTTTTCCTATTGGCCCAGAATCTCGTGTAAGTAAACATATCTTCATCTTCGCGAGCTCTAGCTAACTTTGACCCATCTTGTGGAATTCATAATCCGGTCAATACCTGGTTATTGCCATAAATGAAAGAGACTGCCTAAATTGGACATGGAGCATTTTCATCGGGATGCCGAGCTTGGATACAGTTGCTCGAATGCTCAGATCACGTTTATATCAAGCTAGGGTAACGGCTTCAAAGGGCTTGGATCAGAGCTTCAAAGTGTTTAGACCAGACTTCAATATGATTGGATTAAAGGCTTTGTGGCTGGGATAACAACAGAATTACCAGCCCAAGGTTGGTAAGTGATTAGGCGGTCTTTTATGACTAGGTGCTTGATGGTGAGTCTTCTTGATGAGAGGTTTGGGAGGGATACAACGTCCACATATCTTGCTTAAGAAGACCGACGAGCTCTCAGTTTGTAGGCATCAGATCTTTCTCCTTCCTTCCGTTTCCAGGTATAGGCTATGTCTACCTATTGTAGCCCAAAGCAAGATGGTCCATAACAATGGAGTGCGAGGGACCTCGGACAGCTCCGTATTTCATCAATGAACACGGGAATTTTGATATCTACAAGATGGCCTATTCAAACCCTGGTTCTAGCTCATAGGTACCTTATTTATGCAGCGTACCACCGCTCCCGTCCCCATCCTTAACTCCTCACATTGTGAACCATAGCTAGCATCAAAGCACATAGCGATAATCAGACATCAACTCCGTCACATACGGGTTCTCCGAATCGTCCTTCTTCTTCACCCCCGTGCGCTTCTCTTCCTCCTTGTCCTTCTGTTGCATCTGCGCGCCGTTTCGGACGGCAGGGCTTTGCATCTTCGACAAGAATTTACTCAGTCTGCTGGATTTCTTTGGCTTGGTCTCGCCTGAGGATTGTCCCTCTTTCAGGGTAAACTGCCCGACGGAAGACTCGGACTCTAGAGAGAATCTCTTCGTGTTGTTGTTCTGTGCAGTTGAAACTTGGGATTTGCTGTCCATCTTGAGCGGTGGGACCACTGGTTGGGCCGAGGTGTTCGTTTGTTGTTGTTGTTGTTGTTGTTGTTGTTGTTGTTGTTGTTGTTGTTGTTGTTGTTGTTGTTGTTGAACGATCAACACCGGGTGCCACCCTACAGGGGAGTTGAATCTTCTTTATAACCGCCATCATGAGGATCAGGATGTCAGCTGTTCAAATGCACAGCCTCTCTCCGTCCGCTTGCGATGTAACCCATCTCACGCTTGGGCGGAATTGAAAGGCTGTGTAGATCCATGTAAAGTTACGATTGGTCGACTTAGGCAATAGGCTGGCTTGGCTCTTGGTGGAATGCCGCTGTTGTAAGATGCTCAACTATCACCAACATGGTTTGGGGGCCTCATTATTCATGAAGGATCCAAGGTGCAGTATTATTGCCTTTTCGGGCAGAATTAGGCCGCTGTGAGATTTGCCTGCATGAGATGCTCGTGGCTGTGCTCGGTTACCTCACCCTCACCCTCACCCCCACCCTCACCCTCACCCTCACAAACTGCAATATTGTTATGAAAGATTATCTCCAGCCATAAGCAGTCTGCTCTTATACCAGAATCTTCAGCTGTGTCACCAGGTTGGATTTCATGCCTCGTTGTCTTGACATTTGCGGGCCCCTACCGCTGCGCTACCCCTCAATTGAGCTGCTCTGCGGAAACCACGCACAATCCTGTCAACCGCTTTCCTCATGCAGCAAACCGCACCGCCGAAGGATGAATGGACGAACAAGGAGTTGATGCTAAAGATCACAGAGGTCCCCGACGAGAACGACCCGTATCACTACCATAAATTGAGTGATGCGGATGAGATAAGGCTGGTGACGATCAAGCCGGGAAAATGGACGGATCCAATCAGCTGTGAGCTGACATGCCACTCGCTGGACGTCGATGATATAACTGAGTATTCGACCTTGTCGTATGCATGGTATGTGGTACGATGCTGCCCTGCTAACAGTTATGTCAGCTGAACATGTGAGGACAGGGGATCACCTCGAGTTACCGAAAACATCATACTCGAGGGTCGAACATGGCCGGTTACTGTCAACCTGGCCAACGCTCTACTCTTCCTTAGAGACCAGGAGAAGCCTGTGAAAATGTGGATCGATGCGCTGGTTTGTGTGCCCTGTTTCTTCGGTTGTTCAAGTATAAACAGGGTGCTAATGTGAGCCTGATACCAGTGCATTGATCAATCCGATCTGAAGGAGAGGGGTAAACAAGTCCAGCTGATGAAGGACATTTACTCAGGCGGCACACAAGTTGTGGTGTACCTCGGCGATGGAAAGAACCACCGACCAAAGCGCCTCTCCGAGCACCACATAACCTCCAAAGCTCCTACCCAACAACACTTTTACAATGACGAACGCGATGGGGTCCACCTTGAAGAGTTCTGGGCCGCACTTTCCGCCTCAGCCATGCCCTCCCTCCCAATGAACGATAGGAGCAAACGGCCACGGATCCGATCTCGGCATCTCTCTTCAACATTCCACATGTTCTGTCTCCTCCGGGTACTGGGCGATGAAGTCTTGACTTCTGACCTGGTCGACAGGATGCGCAAACTCACCGCTATGGACCCCTCCTGCGACCTGCTTGGTACTATGGTCGAAACCCTGCGCTGTATGCTCCTCAACCCATGGTGGCAGCGCATCTGGGTCGTGCAGGAGATGATTGTCAGTCGAGTGGCAGTCGTCCGTTGCGGCACAGTGACATGCCCGTGGGACATGTTTATTGCTGCCGCCTCATCGCTTTCGAGCTCCTCGGTCGACATGGCCACAATTTTCCGTCCCGACAGCATCAAGGTGCTTCAGTACTTCTGTCGCCAAGTTCTGAGCTTCCGCGATTTACGCAACCAGTGGAAGAAGAATCTCGGCGCCCCTATGCTGACCCTCCTCCAGGACTTCAGCGCGAGACGGGCAACTGATGAGCGAGACAAGGTATTTGCCTTGCTGGGGTTGGCATCCCATTCTCAGAGGTTCCTTGCCTTGGCAAGCTATGAGGACTCAGTTGCCGATGTGTACCGAGCAACAGTCGTGGAGCTTATTCGTCGGAGTCACTCTCTGGAAATCTGGCATGGTGACTTGGCACGGAAGAACAGGAGAGATCTTGCAAGCTGGGTTCCTGACTGGAGCGCAGTGTACGATGAAGGTGATCGCCAGCGGGCGCAAAGAGGTGACAGTGAAAAGGGCGAACGTAGTTCGGCGTGGAAACTGACTGTGGTACAATCAGAGGGGGGATACTGGAAGTTTGTGGCCGAAGGAATGACACTGTTGTTGCACTGGATCAACGAGAATCCACAAGAACGAAAACTACCGAAACGCATGGAGGAGGAATTCGACTCGTACCACCGACTACTGAACATCACCTGCCTGGATTTCTACCGGAGGAGAGACGCCAACGCGTTGGTAACCACCGTCGAGAGGATACAGGAGCTATGCATCAACCTGAAAGCTCACTGCTCTTGGGGCAGTGCATATGAGGACCTCGCCAAACACCCTTCTATCAGCGCATTTGGTCGTTCGGCGGCTTTTTATCGCGAGGTAAAATCAAAGTCTGAGGTTGGCCAAGTTACCCCCAACATGGACTCAGAATCTCGGGATGATTTCTGGTTTGGAAAAGACACAGCGGCTTGGCTTGATCGGATGGTGATCAGGTATGAAACGGTCACTTTCCGAACCCCCAAATCGGAGACTGCTATCCAGCATCATTTTAGATGGGAGCCTGATGAAGCGAGATGGTATCCTGATGGACGCAGACGAAAGAGCTTTTTGTCAATGGAATCCATGCCTCTGGGTACCGTAAAACATGTCGGCGAGCGACTCTTTTCCTGGGACGATCGCGATTCCGCTTTCAGCACGATTTCGAAATGGGTCTCCTACTACGAAAAGATGTCAGGGTATCACAGGGTGAAGTTGGCCAAGACCTTGCTGGGCGAAACCAATCTCACCGAAACACTCCAGAGTACAGCTGAAGTCGATGGAGTTGGAGATGAGAGCCATCGTGATACTGTGGAAGCGCTGCTTCTGGAGTGGCTTGATCATGTGCTTGAACGTCACGATTTCCCAGACGATGCAAACATGAAACCTCTCAACGAGGCTCTCGTTCTTGCAACAACGGGGAGGGTCATGTTCGCCTTGAACGACAGCACTCTTGGGTTGGGCCCGGGGAGCATGACTGTGGGAGATGAGGTGATGATGCTTCCGGGTACCAGCTCACCTATTGTGCTCCGGTTCCGCTTACCTGAGCGCGATGAATCCCTCGAAGGCCCTGCATATGCGGTGGTTGGAGATTGCTATCTTGACCCTTCATCCTCGGATGAGCAAAAGAAGCTGCCAAACTCGTGGCCAGGATGGTTGCCGGAAACAATCATGCCAATAGAGCTTAAAAATTACTGGGAGAGACGTCGCATTTATCTCTTCTAGATGGGAGGTATATTCATCATCCTGAACCAGTGCCTATGTAGGCGCTTTATCATCATTTCTATGCAGCTAGCTCAAAGACCAAATCGCCAGGTACCAAACTACCTAAATAACCTTCAGAATAGCCTCTCCAACCGCCTTTGCACTTGCAGGGTTCTGCCCCGTGATGAGCTTCCCATCAACAACGAGCTTCTCCCCCCAGTCCTGGCCAGCCTTTTCGTACTCCGCGCCCACCTCCTTGATCCTGGTCTCCAGCATGAAAGGCATCTTCTCCGAAAGTCCAACGCCGTCCTCCTCGGAATTGCTAAAAGCGGTCACCTTCTTCCCCTTGAGGAGGTAATCCCCATTGCTCAACTTGACATTCACCAACGCGGCAGGTCCATGGCTGTTTGAATTGGGTGTCTTTGTTAGACAACAGCTGAAAAATGGTCTCTCTCTCTCGACTTGGAAACAAGCACGATAATTATATGATAAAAACTTACCAAACAGCGCTGACGATCTTGCCCGCCTCCCAAAACCTCTTTACAATCTCTTGCGATTCCTTATCGCCGGCGAGATCAAACATGGGGCCGTGGCCGCCGGGGAAGAAGAGGGCGTCGTAGCTGTCGATGCCTTGTTGAAGGATCTGGGAAAGGGGAGTGGTGGCCTCCCAGAGGGCGGATTGCTTGTGCAAGAACTCAACAGAGATCTCATCGTCTTTGGCGGCTTCGATGGAGGACTGGTCCAGGGGAGCGGCGCCGCCGCGGGGGGAGGCGACGGTGATTTTGGGGGGAGGGGAGGAAGACGCAAAAACGTGGTGGGGGTGGGAGAATTCGGAGAGGTACCAGCCTGTTTTTTTGCCTGTGTCGGCCAGGTCGGCGTGGGAGGTGAGGACTACGAGGATGGAGGGGGACATTTTGGGCGTGAGTGTGTTGTTGTATTGTTGTGTTTGTTGCGTTGGTGAGATGTGGTATTGTTGGTGGTGGTGGTGGTGTTGGCTGAGTGAAATATTGATGTTCAGTGAGTGAGAGAAAGACCAAACTTTTATGTAGCTATGTACGAGCCCCCTTCTTTCACAAGCCAAACTCCACGATCCGATCTCCATTGGTAATTCTGACGGCCCCTTTGGTGGAGGTGATGCATCTCCTGCTCACTAAGCCGAAAAACCCCTCGATGTAACAGTGACGTCACACTCAACCCAATTCCAACAGTTTCCATCCGATCAAATGTTGGATTGCGGGGTGAGCCGCCATCTCTTAAATCCAGGGTTCTCAGAAGAACGGAATGGTGGACCCCTGAGATGCGACGAAACCTATCATGGCATAAATCTCGATTCCGAGGGTAACTCAAGGGAGGTTATCGCCTATCTCCCTGATCGGAGTTAGATGTTCAAGTCTTGGCATGGGTGATAAATAACCCGACGATAGCGCAGAGGAAAGTGTTGGGATGGAATAGCAACCCGAGGAAGCTTGCGTCTTTGACCATGTCGTGATTGTTGAATGCAAAGATTCCGATGAAGGTGGCGGCTTTGGAATGGCTTATTGATGATGGGTGGAATTGAGGATTTATCGTGGTATCCTTTGAGCTTCCCCGAGCCAATCCCGGAGCATGAGCGAGTTCCCATCATTAAAAAAAAAAAAGGAAACGGAACAAACTGCAACAAGAGGTACCCAATGCCATAGAGTTCATTTATACAAAGAGGTATTTCCTACCCCAAAGACCCCAACAGTAACTAACCATACCATGCCGCGCGCGCTCGCTCGCTCATAATTACATTAAAACAAGTATAACCCATCCCTTTCCAACAGCCAGCCCACCCCGTAAAGCCAACCCCGTCATCTTTTTCCCGTATCCCAATCTCAAAACGCCATCCCATGTATTCCAATTCCACAAGTCATCACATCCACATCCCAGTCTTGCTCGGCCGTCTATTCTGCTGCCACAACGGCCTCCCACCCCCATTGCTCCCCCGACTATACACCGAACTCGCCACCCTGCTATAATCCCCTGGTGGCCCCTCCCCAACATCTCCCCGCCGACCACCACTCATATTCATCTCCCCCAAATCATCCCCCCCTTCCTCCCTCCTCAAATGATCCTCCTCATCCTCCTCCCCGATCCTATCCAGCGCCGCACTAAACCCGTGGCTAAAATCGTCAATCTCCCTTGTGAGCGGTACCTGATCCGACTCGAGTCTGTTCTCATCTCCCCTCCCGTTGTGCACAACAGGGATAGCCGCCGCGCCGCTGTAGATAGCCGGGTATTGTCCCTGCTGCTGCATATGCTGATATTGCATGCTCAACTCGTCGCTAGGGGGGTAAGAGGTGTGAGAGTGGGGGGTGATGGCTGAGACCACTCCCCCGGCGCCAGAATAAGCATAGGGAGAAACATCGTCTTGGCCGATGGGTGAGACGTCGTTTTGGAAGGGCATGCGGGGCGGCACTGCTGTCATGAGGGGTATACTCTTCATTTGTTGTTGTGGTGAGGGTTGGTTTTGCCCAGCGAACATCGGGTTGGGGCTGGGACCGGTCTCAAAGGCGTCGCTGTCTTGGGGGATGGCGGCGAAGCCTGTTCCTGGACCGGGGCGGGGGGTGCTGATGTTTTGTCCGCGGATGCTTCCTTTCCCGGGGCCCGATCTCGCGTTGGCGTTTTGTCGGCGGCGGATGCAAAAGGCGAGAAGGGCTACCAGGGCGATGAGGACGGCGAGACCGCCGATTGTGGCGCCTACTATTACGCCTGTTCGGTTCGTTGTTTGCGCTCGCCCGGTTTCCGGAGCGTCGGTTGCGGGGGAGGTGGTTTCGGTGGTGGTTGGCGTGGAGGTAGAGGATGATTGTGTTGAAGATTGCGTTGATGATGGTGAGGAGGTTGATGTTGAGGGGGAAGTAGAGCTGGAGGACGAAACACTTGAGCTTGTCGACTCTGTTTCTGTTGAACTGGCCGATTCCGTTCCTGTTGAGCTTGAAGCGGTATTGGTTACCGTCCCCAGCGTTGTTGGCTCGCTCAGCGTAGAGACAGCCTGTGTCAGACTGAGACTCACGGTGGGAAAGGTGACCTGCGTCGTCAAACCACTTGCGCTCGTCAAAACGATCGTGGCCAGGTCGCTCGCAGAACCGCACCCGTACTGAGAAGCTCCTCCCTGAAAAACATTCTTATAACACACATCACTTCCCCCACAGGTAAAAACGTATGGGTTCACCTCCGTCTGTGGCCCGCTGTTCGCATCTACACATCCGGTAAACACACCTGCCGTGCAAGAAGCTTCTCCGTTTGGGCAGCACCCCACCACATTGTTCTCCGTATCCAACACGCAATGTGAACCGGCGCTACACGTCGCTGCCAAATTCTGGTCACCTCCCAAGTAACCGCATACTGTATTGTCCTGTCGCCGACGAAGAGCAAAGAGGTCTCGTGAAGGTGGTGGTGTTGGTCGAAGAGGCCATGAGACAACACTCAATGGGTGGTATGGGACCGTTGTGGTTGGCGGAACAACTGGTACCCTCCTGGGTAATGGTTGAAGAATATGGGCGTTGCTCAGATCAAGCAGACTCGATAGCAACAGTAGAGCTGTCGGTGGTGGCAATCGATCAAAGAAATCGGATCTCATCTCGCTGTTATCGCACGCGCATTCGGTATGCGCCTGCTTGGTTATTGTTCGAGATGTGGTGGTGTTTGGTGGTGGTTCCCAAACTCGGCCGGTTCCAGAATCCAGAAAGAGACAAAAAAAAACAACGGCGCGGTTCGAGGGCGCGCAGGCAGGTAGGGTTATAACAGTCGGGGCAGGGAAGAATGGAAAGAGACCAAAAAAGATCTGGATTTGCTACAAACTGGGAGGAAGTTGGTGGCAGGAAGAGGCACAGTGGCGGAGGCAATTAACCCACCAGAGCAGCACCACGCAGCTTCGCTCGCAATGCGAAATCCAAGCCTCCAGGGCAAGCAGGGATCTGCTCGGCAGGGGGGGGAGGCCTTTCAGGGTCTTTGGTTGGAAGGATGGTCGCTGCATGTCGGGTGGTGTCCTTCCACTGACGCCCCCATGTTCGGGTGCATGCCCTGGTGTCAGGTACACAAACCCCACTGCGGAGAAGGGCATCTTGTGTATCTTGACTTCCTCAGGCTCAGGTACGAGGACGTACCCGGATAAGCCATCATTGAAGGCCCTGGGATGTTCCCAAACCTCAACACGTTGCCAACCTGGATGTCTAAATGTCAACTGAACATTCCATTATGGCCGTCCCCCCACGGCCCTGGCTCTGCGGCGGAGGTGGTTAGCAGAAACCGCCGACCAACAGGAGCAGACTGGAGGTCCGGCTTGGAACCTGACGTGCATCTGCAGTAGTTTGTGCAGTGAGCAGCAGCCATGCAATTGCCGGCTGGTGGACCTGCAAACCGGCCATCTTGGGGGATGTGAGTCGTCGGTGAAACACAAGAGGGCAAAGCTTGAAGTCGACGGTTCCCGGTTGATGAGGAATATCGATCGGCTCCCAATGCCGTCGGCTTGTCTTAGCGGCCTGTAAGCCGATATTCCCAACCGTTACGTTCCTTCTCCTCGGGCATGGTAGAGGAGCGGCACTATCGCCTTGTGTAACCGTTCAAAGCAAAGTCAACGAACCATCAACGCCACAGCTTGCCGGGAACGGGGACTGGTGCCCGTTATCAACCCATCCCCACTTTGAACGAGACATCCAAAACAAACGTCCGGCAATCCGCATAACCAAGTCCCCATCTTCGGATCTCGGACAAATCTCTCCAGTGTTTTACGGTCATAAGGGAAGACAGTCGCTGAATGGGTCTTCGAAGTGCACATGAAAAGGTAAAAAGATCACCACAGGGCTTTGTCCTCGTCCAGGTGGCCCCCCAAGTTCTTTTTTTAGTACCCCGCACTCTTGGCTAGCGTGGCTAGCGCACTTTTGCTGCCGAAGCTGTGGCGGTGCGAAGCGGGTCACCGTTGCAGGGGTGCTCCATCATGACATCGACGGCAACGTCAACAACGGCTTCATTTTTGGGGATTTTCCCGTCGAACCAAGTTTATGGTTGTGTTCCAGAGATAAAAAGGTTGCCACATACCACCATGGTATTTTGGAGGTTAATTGGTGGGGAGGTCACTGATACCTACATAGCAGCAAGTCAATTGGTTGCACTTGTTTGTCTACATACGCGTAACTGTTTGCCCTCCGATCAACGGCTCCGAGAAAACCTGCATTTGGGCCAGTGTTCCTTCTTGGAATTGGATTTGACCCACACTCGCACTCAAGGGAGCAGAAAAACTTGGTCTGATGCTCATCTCGGCTTCGGGAAAGCTGTGCCTCAAATGTGGCTCTTAATTGCTTATGTCGCGGTGGAGCATCATGAGAACATACGCCGCACGCTTGCCTATTGGAGGGTATGATACCGACGCAGTGGTTTAAGCCATTTAGGATGACCTAACCTTCTCATCTGTGCTCAAATTGTGGAGGTAACTATATGCCGAGATAGATGGTGCAGCGTGCCTTGACAAAAAGACTGTATTGCTAGGATAATGGACACTGTATGCTGTAGTCAAGCAGCGACAGACGCAGCAGCCTTCAGCCTGACCATCTCCTTGAATGTCTCCCTGACTGACTTTTGTTTCTTCTTAGGAGCTAATGACCAAGCGGCTTCCTTGAACTGGTTGCGAATAACCTCTTCTTTTGAGGGAGCGGTGGGTGTCTCGACATGTTCAACGGTGATCTCTTTAGAGAGTTTCGCGGTCTTATGCGCCATGGTTGTTGGTGAGTACTGCATCTCGCTAGGCCAAAATGTGATATCGGGAGTATCTGGAGCTACTGTAGCCGGGTCCTGGTATTGAGACCACGATCCAGTTTCGGCTGTATGATGATAGATTGGGTTGACGTTGGGGGTGACGAGAGTGGCAGTTACGTCAATAACACTGATGGGAGAAGAGATAGAAGCAGGTGGCGAGTATGCAGTTGATCCACTCCATTGACTGCTGTTTGTTGGTGATGGTGTGTCGTTGGTGTAGTTTCCATCGTTGACAGACTCATGAATGCCAGCCATGGCACCAACAGATGAATCGCACTGTCCGCTGGCTTCGACACAGACACCTTGTGAGGTCCTTGACCATGATGGAATGGTGGTGGGACTAGACCGATGGGACGGTCCGGTGTTATCCCTCAGTCCCATATGTTCGGACAGGCGTTGAACCTGGGCACCGATCTGTTCTTGACCCAACAGCAGTTCAGTAGCGTCCTTCTTGATATCTTTGGCGACGGCTCTGTTCAGCCATTAGTACTAAAGTTTAGAACACACTACGATGCTCACAGAATATAGCTGTAGGTATCAACTCACAACGTATGCACCCCCAAGGTAAGCTCAAGCTGTTCAGTCGCCGTTTGTAATTGCTTGTGGATATTCTCCACCGCGGCCTTGCCAGAGATGGCCCACTTGACGCGTGAGTCGTTGATGGAGGTAATCACAACCTGGAGCTCCTCGATGATGTCCATACAGAGATTGACTTGGTCCATAATGAGATCATTTTTTCGGTTCGGGCTATCCGTGTGCTGGGTTCCTTCGTCATACCGAATAAGCTCCAGTACATAGGCTAGGCTTCGAAGTTGAGTCATAGTCTTGAGTAAATCTGATCGGGCGTCATTATAACGCTTGCTAAGCTGGTAAAGCTGTTTAATTGTCTTTTGCGCAACTTCGAGTAGGGTGATACAGCCAATGCCGATAGAAAATGGATCCATTGTTGTTAAGACGGGGTACCTTGGAATTGTCCGGGTCAGGTAGGCAGAAAGATAATCGGAAATGGCTGAAGACCGCGCATTCCCTCATGAAATATTGCTGGGATTTAGCCCGTCTTTACTTTCCCACAACACCTCGCATCGATCTGGACAAGCGTGAGTTAGCATGAATGAACTAGGGTAACCGCGGCAATCTTCAATGGTGCCCAGGCAGATCGAATCTTCCAGCTACCTTTTGGCATGTTTTCGTATGCCTCTTTCATCTGACTTGCCAATGGGAAAATGGAGTCGCATCCTCGACGTGCATTCTCCATGCTCATTGGGAGCTTCGCCCCCACGATCAAGCTCGACATCTGCACCACCCCCGCAATTGCGAGAAACCCAGCGTGAAGCGGGATGTTGAAGAGCTCTGCCTAGTAGGAAGCTGACGATAATACGCACTGCCGCTGTTTTGATTCTGTTGGCCCTCTGTCCAATAGGACAAGGGCTTGCCACCGAATCTCTGGGGATATCAGATCTCGTTTTGGTTGCAGATAGGCTACGGTACCTGAGTCATACAACGTTGTATTAAGCTCATGTTAAAAGCAGCGGGAGCGCCGGCCCTAAGGTGTCTATGAGTAGTAAAACGCCAGATATTATGCAGCATCCTACAAATGCTTCCACCCATTATGCACTACCACCTGCATCTCGTTGATCAGGCAAAACCCACCCTTCTCCTCCCGCACTACTCCCTTTCCTCCTTCGCCTGCCCACTGAGCCACCCTCCTGCGTATCGTGCTCTCTTTGAACCAAGGCGTAGTGAGCCACCGCCCCAGCCGATTCTTCCATAGCCCAAACCAGATCTGGCTCAGCGACACCCAGCTGCTGCCCACCGGATGCACGGCCTTGTATGCTTCCGGCTTGTACCCAACCCTGACATTTGGGTTGAGAAATACTCCTTTCGTCCTTGACTGCGGGTTGTCGGCATGAATCAGGCAGCACTCTGACCCTTCAACATGGTATTCCGCAAGGCTGTCCTGAACGCCCCTGAACTTCAGTCCTTGAATCCCCATGAAAGCCGTCGCTGGCATGGCCACGATACCATTCCAGCAACTGGACACCGGCGCAGGCAGTCCGTTTATCAAAGCTGAGCGGGAATTCCCTGACCTGAAGTATGGCCAAGTCTGTGTTACATGCTCATGCCCAGCCGAGTCCCTCAGCGCAAAGGTATCGTAGAATTGTGGCGGCTTGCTGAAGTCCATGGAGCATGCCGCAGCGTAGCTCCCCTTGTTGGTATCCAGCAGCATCATGATATCTTGCGTGTTGAAGACTACATCTCCGAGAAACAGCACATGGTCGAAGCTCGTCCCATTCTCAGCCAATTCGATCAGCGGTTCCAAAGACTTGTTGCGCAGTTTCGAGAGGTACGGTATCCTCCTCGGCATCAACTGCTTCTCTTTGCCCACCGCAATCCAACCCCCTTCCTGCCCCGGGGTGCTGTGTAGGAGGTCTTTGTGCGTCTCCTTATCCAGCACAATCTTCCGCCCTACTCCCGTCTTCTCAAGTTGTTCATCCAGCTCCCTTAGCGCCCCCTTCGAGTCATCCCAACTTCCACTTTCGTATACACTGACAAAGACATTGTTTGGTCCGAGGGTGTTAACCAGGTCGAGAACGGCGGCGTTCCAGCTAGAGCGGAGGATTTTCTCGTTGTTCCAATGCAAACTGGCAATGAAGACTCGGCGGGTTTGTAGGGAGTGATGGGCTCGGGCTTCTCGCTCGGTGCGGATGAGGCGGTAGTAAATGATATGGGACTCGAGGAGTGTCCAGAGGAAGAAGGCGAGGAGGACCTTCTTGAGGGCTGAGCGGGAGAGGAGGATGCGTAGTAATCGCGAGGAGGGGAGAGAAGGGGCTCGTGGTTTCATTTCATCGCTGTTTGAGGGAGTGTTTCACCCTGCACAGAATTGCCGTGGGGTGTGTTTGGTGTTGTCGGGACGAGAAAATTGGTGCGTGTTGGCGTTAGCCATGTTGAGAATGGGAATATGAGGTCACAGACGGTTTTGCAGTGCTGACCAGCGCTGTGCCGTTGGAATTGACTTCTGAGTGGAGCCGCTGGAATCGCGTTTAATTAGCGCTAGGGAGCGGGAGTGGCTTGGCACACAGCCCTGTGGGTAGTGGGGTCCAACTTTTGGGGTCAACCTGGAAAGGTTGGGGGTGATCCCCTCAACGCAACAACCGGGCACACATATCAGAGTAGGTATGGATGACCTCGGACGTGAGAGGGCGCGCTTATAAAACCGAACAATCGAAAGAGCTCCAGAATGTCTACATACATCAGAGAACACCACAGGTCCGTTCCCTTCCTGTCCAATTGTGACCTTAATTTGACACTGACATTATTAGGTGCATTTTCACCACCATCTCATCTTCCAAGGCTCCGAAGCTCGAATTCCGGGCACCGCACAAGAAAACTGATATGAAAGATTCTCATTGGGCTTTGAACTCAGGATGCTAAATTACTCCCAAACACACAAATCATCATGGCTTCCAGGTTGCCGTTACGTCTATCAACATAGGCAAAGCCTGAAGCAGGTACGTGATCCGTAACGTGAGACAGAGAATTTAATAGCTGAATTTGATCAGACGGATCTGATCCCGCAGTCTCACCAGCCCTCGATATGGCCAGCCTCGACCCAGCATTTCTCTATTCCATACCTATCAATCATCAAGGTCGTTGACCACGGTGAGGAAGATCATGACAAGGGTGAGCGAACACCAAGTGGACCTGCCTCGTTTAGCGTTGGCCTGTCAAGCTGTCTAACCAGAACAGAACATAACCCTTGAGGTTGATACGCACAGACCAAGGTGATTGGAGCATCTCTGTTAACGAGAGCACGCGAGAGGATCCCTTTCCTAGAGCGGAATCTAGGGAAATGTTCCGGTACACAAGCGGTGTGTTCGGGGTGGAAATTCGAGGTGCTTGGCGAGCCCAACTGTTTCCACCGCGTCTCCTCCCATTCGCACGTAAAGCCGGCCAGCGTGACCCTCGAAATCCCGTCGGACTTTCGCCTTGCTTTCTTTTCTCTTTGTAACTGACACCGGAGGGCCAACGACGACAACCGAAAACCACATGCCGCCTGAGCCGGGGTAGCACCAGCATTTGTGAGAGAAGCACATGGCCCACTCGTCACCTTCCATGCAGCCTTCGGTGCAGCTGCCTTCTCCACAGCCCCTCGACGACCAGCCAGGCCTCGAGGTCGTGCCGCACGATAACCTCCCCGAAGTTCGACCCGAGGAAGAGCCAAAGTTCTATCTGTCACCGGCTCAATATCAAGATCAAAAGATCGTTCTCGGCGAAGATTATCCCCAGGTAGTCGACGGCAACGGGGAAATAGAGGTTGGTAGCCCAGCTTCAACAGAAAAGGGCACGCTTCCTCCTGTCAGCAAATCCTACCAAAGGCGAAAATGGTGGATTATTGGCGGTACTGCTTGTGCAGTAGTTGCCATTGTTGTCGGCGTTACTCTAGGTGTTGTGTTATCACTGAAAGCCCGCAACAATGATGGCAACGCCGCCATAAATGGCACGTCGGGACCAGAAACCATCCGCCAAGGCTCAAAGCTCTCAGCAGCGGGCTGGCGCAAAGCAAATGGTTATGTTGAGAGGTATCTCTTTTATCTCGACCCTCAAGGTCAGATCAGACGCTCGCGAAGTATCACCGGCAAGGGCAATTCTACCTCCACATGGGAAGTGCTGCCAGTGCTTGACCTAAAAGCAACCAACGGCACCTCACTAGCAGCCACCATTGCTCTTCATGGCACAGATTACAATGTATGTCAATCTCTTTTGTCACTACAATAATTCCCGAGCTCACCAGATGTCCGTTAGCCGCAAACTGCATTGTTTTACGAGGCGGACAGAAAGGTCTTCGGCACCATGTTCAATCAAGCCAGACAACCAAACATTCTGATCGACAACGTTTCGGGAGGGTACAGTCGTGGTTTCGCGGACCTAGCCATGGGTAACGCGGCTAAACTTGCGGCATACTGGCCCTATGTCGTGGCTCAACATGAGACGGGCGATATCATTCAAGTTGATCACATGCTGGGGGATGGTCTTGTCCCCACCGAGGACTGGTATGTCCAGAATCTCAACATCACCGCCTACGAGGGCTCGTCGCTATGCATAGTACCCACCAGTTCCAACTTCACCGAGATCAAGGAATCCAAAGCCTATGGTGTAGTCTACCAGAAGCCCAATCAGGGCTTGGCCATCCATTACCCTGCCTTTGAGCCAGGCACGCCCGACGCCGTGCAGCTCGAACGGGTTCCTGAAAGTAGGTTATCGCTCAAGACGGCCCATCAATGTGTCGACTAACCAAACTTTTAGCATTCCCCGAGCTCTACACATTCCCGCCCCAGACTCCGATGGCCGCCTTTGCCGTCCCCCGAGGTTCCAACGACAACGACAGCCTCGTGGACATCTACCTTGTCATCAAGAGTTACACTGGCAAATTTGCCGTTTGGTTCAGCGAGAACTCATCCTCTTGGAGGGAAGAATTCCCTGCGGTTTTCCAGGAGGTTGATGAAGATTCGGACATTGCATGTTCCACCCTGGCAGTCACAAACATGGACTGGGAAGGGAAGGAGGTCCCGCTGGAGCGTGGCGAAGTGCGGTGTTATTTTCAGCGTAATGGCATTGTTGTTGAAGTAGCTTTTGAGGGTTTGATTTGGACTGAGGTTGGGGTGGTGCCGATACCATGAGCCGACGCGGGGGGGCTCAATAGAGTTTCCTCGCCAGAGCTCCTTCTAGGAGTGGCTGAAGGCGGAGATTTTTGCTCGGGACGCAACGTTGTTGCGCAAAGTGGACTTGAACTCTTGCCGTAGCTGTATGCTTTTCCGCCACCAAGGTGCCTACGGTTGAACGTAGACACCTGGACTGACCGGCCATGCAGCAGCTGGAAAGTAAACCGTTAAATGGCAAGCCGCGGGTGGGAGGCGGAGAGGTCAGTGTGACGAGAAAACGACACGATTGGGATATCAGTGGATTCTGCCTTGCCTGCGACAGACACGAAGTGGATTTATGTAATTCAAATATTGCCCAAAACGCTCGGCTTCTATGGAGCATCTCTCATCGTTCGCATTCCTCCCTCACACCTCGTTACAAGAGTTGATGGTTTAGGAAGGTCACCCAGGCTTCCTTTGCCCAGCAAACCAGTCGGACATTTCGGGGAAGACACCGTATGTCTCGGGCGCGCCGCAATCTATGGTCCCTTCAATCTATGTTCAGGTGAGGCACTGACAAGATTTGTTCTCACTGATAGGCTCAAGATAGGTAGGCCAAGCATGTAAGCGGCTCGATCCTCTTCCGCCATAGCCATCAGCCAGTGTCTGATTGATGCGACTCTGGGAATTAGTCTACAGCAAACCCGATGACCATTATTTACGAGCTCTTTGTTTGTTCTTAGAATACGAAACCAAAATACAGTCTCTGCCCATCTCCAACTCTGATGCACCGTCTGAACTACCTTTCGAGAATGGAATAAACCACCAGTCTTGGAACATGACTACCCTGCAGCATGCCACCACCGGCAATCTCAACGGAAACCGACCGCCTTCACCATCGGGTCAAGTCGAGAACTTGGAACCGGTTATACTGGGAACAGGCGCGGCGTTGATGCCCATCACTGTCGCCATCGCGATGGTCCGGATTGCAACCGGGCGGGCAGTTTCAAAACTGCATATTGACGATTGTAGGCATCCCTATGACCTACCTGGCAGATCAAGAGCTGACACTATCAAAAGACGTCTGTCTCCTCACCCTATCCTTTGGGATTGCCCAATGGGCAATGATGTACCGCCGTAAGCGCTCCCCACCTTCACTCTTTCACCATCCGGGCCTTCAAAGCTAACTCTCAAAGTCGCCCAGCTAGGCGTAGCCCGTCACGCCTGGGACATCCCACTTACCAGCATCAACCCTCAAGTCTACCAAGTCTGGGCTGCGCACACTGTTTTGGGTATCATCTCCTTTTTCAACACCAAGGCCCTCATCCTGACGTTTTATCTCCGGCTTTTTGGGACTGTGCGCTGGGTGAGGTGGATGTGTTACTCGCTTTTGAGCCTGTCGGTGGTTATATACGGTATGATTGGGCTCTGGTACGTCGCTGGTTGCGTACCCAAGAACTCGAAGCTGCCTGTGTGTGATGAGACAGGGCCGTTGATACTAGCGGGAGGGGTGTTCACTGTGGTGGCGGATGTGATGTTGTTTGGGATGCCGTTTCCGGTTATCAGGGGGTTGAGGCTTGGGAGGGATAAGAAGAGGGGGTTGGTGGTGTTGTTTGGGTTTGCGATTCTGTGAGTGTCGTCCTTGGGGGAAATTGGGAACGTTACCTATGTGCTGATGAGATATTTGATGGCAGGATTATTGCCACAAGCACAGTCAGTCTGGCGTATCGGATATCCATTGTGGTGAATGGGACTGAGGACCCTTCTTGGGATGGGGCTGAGGTGGCTGTTACTGCGTATGTCGAAGGCCTTCTTTTTAATTGGTGATGTCTACCTACCCAGCTGACGTGATGGATAGATATGTGGAAATATTCGGCACTGTGATTGTCGCCTCTGCACCGGCTTTGTACACGTTTTGGACTCGCATCTTTACAGAAACAAGACTCTACGCGACATTGAGATCTGGCTTTTGGTTCAAGCAGAGAACAAAACCTGACATCAGACTGGGTCAATGGAAGACTTGGCCAGCCGTGCATGGCGTGGCGGCAGTGCCTGTGAGAGCCGAATTTGTGGGGACAGAGAGCAGTCAAGACTTGATCCGGGAGCATGGCGGGAATGGTGGGATACTGAAGACTGTGACTGTGACGCGTGAGGTTGTGGGTGATCAGGGAGGACGTGGGGGACTTGGCTAGCTAAAGAGAAAGGGGGGAGATCTGGGGAAGAATAGGTAAGGTACCTTAGGAATGGGTGTGTGTTAAAGAGGCCAAGTTATTCCATGGGGGATGGATGTATCCAAGAATCACGCCCAAGTCTTTATAATGTCTGAATGAAGTAACGAAAGTGCTCGGATTGAACTCTGGTTTTCTGGGTTTGTGGACTGGAACTGCTGGAATATGTGTCTTCTGTACGGGCATCCCGCCGTGGGACTCGAGTCTCGAACCAACTTTGCTATTGTCTTCAAACAATCTAGTACCATTATCCAAAGCCAAGATTCATGTTTTCTAGTTGTTGTCTGACTGAAGCTGCGTCAACTGAAGCTGTGGGACACAGTTTCAGTCAGGCCCGTGGCCCACGAGCTAGACGACTCTATCAGGTGGAACCTTGGATATTAGCGAACTCAGAGTTGCTTGGATCCCAATCTACTTGGTTTTTCCTTCGCTTCGAAATCAAACTCTCGTAATAGACCGTCCCACTCTCTGAATCCCGGTGCTGGGCCCAATCTGTAAGTCTCGCCACTGCTTCAGGACTAACGAGGTCACGATGCTGATCGTTCAGGCCCATACAACCCAGCACCCAAATCGCAAGATGAACAGTGAGGCCATCAGCAGCAGCGGCACCCCACGGAATCGAGGCATACTCAACAGCATCGTGATGCCACTCAGTACCTTGTCAAAGCTGTGCGAGTCGGAGAATGCGGCTCTGCGAGTGCCATCCCACTCGTCGGTAAGTCCTTGATTGGGGCGCTGCAAGATGTCGCGAATTTCCCACCTCCGGGGCGAGGAGTGGCTTTCTTGGTCTTTTGGCACGATGAAATCGGGTGAAGTTGGTGTTTCAAAAGCCCTGTCGAGGACTTAGTTTGCATTGTCGAGAGCACGTCTGAGGTTAGGTAAACTGTAAGCCATACTAGGTATAGTCCTTCAAATGGTACAGGGTGGATCTGAAGAGGTGAAACAAGATGCCGGGTGCCATGGAAAGAGAGAAAATAGAAATATCACAATAGCCAGAACGAGAGCTGGAAGCTTGTGATCTAAAGGGCGCCAACGCACCAACTGCCTCTGCTCAAGTGTGGGAGGTGCGCAGTTGGTCGCGCAAGGCACAGTCCGCCAAGGTAGCAAGCACAGGGGGCCACCTCTAGGCACCTCAGCTGCCTCTTTCACACGCTCATGAAAAGTTGACTCCCGGAATGGTCTGTTGGTTCCAGATGGTGGTATGTTCTTACATGCTTAGCGGACAGTGGACTGCACATCCAACATAGCCACCAACCACAGATCATGATACGCCACTTGGCAGATTTCCCATCTTCTTAAACCACACCTCACAAAGACATAAGCGTCTGAGTGGGCATAGCGCCATGACTTACCTACATGATGTTACCTATTCCTGCACCTCCAGCAAAAGGGCAGGCCGAAGAGATGCGCCCTCCCGATGATTGCCGGCATAAGGTTCTCAATAGCTTCAAATACCCGACCTTACAAAGAAGCCTGTTACCTGAGGCATCCAAGGTTTTATACGATTTATACGAACTTCGTAACGGTATTATCCAAGGTTGGTAAGCAGACTACCTGAGACTTCTGATAAGGCAAACCGACTTCCCTCGCTGAGATCTATCAGTAGAGAGGCTTAGCTAGGTAGCTACATAGTCTCCCATGAGCTTCTTGAAGGCGGCATTATGTTCATCCCAACCTCAGCATGGCCTTTCATATCGTGAAAGAAATTGAACACAGATGAATGGATCTGCAACAACAAAAGCAAAGGAAACCACACTAATAAACTCGCATCCCTGACTTCAAGGCAGACCCGACAACACCGTTGACCATCCTCAGGGCACATGTAAACCAACGAAACTGGCCTGATTATGGTATATGACCGAGGTGGGATGAAGGTGAAGGCTCAGAATGGTTGGTTGTTGTTGTTGTTGTCTTGGGAGAAATGAGGAGAATAACCTTGCGACCAATACCCTGGTTCTGAAGCAAGAGGAGGCAGGAGGTGAAGTGGTTGCTGCGAAGGTATAGGTAAAGCGACACCCTCTGGCACAGAATGAGTTGTCTGCAGGCAGTGTTGACTGGGATTGGTGGCCTCTCCTCGAGTTGATGCATTCTGCTTATTTTCCAACATGCGCACCACAAGAGATAGTTCGTATTCTTTTGCATAATCCATTGGCGCCTTTCCCTTGTGATCCCGAACGTCGATGTCAATCCCATCAATCCCTAAAAGAGTCCGGATGATAGCTAACCAGTCCTTTCCTCTTTGTGTCCGCACCGCTAAGCATAGCGCTGTTCGGCCGTCTTCATCTTGTAGGTTGATCGAGCCCCGGCGCCACTTGGCACTCCGTTTTGCAAGCTCCTGAACAACCTCGAGATTGCCCGCAAGAACTGCGACATGTAACACCGTATCTCCACTGTCATCCTGGAAAGTGTCAAGGGAGGCAGGGGAAAATGCCATTTCGTACCAATTCAAAACCTCTGTGCACACACCAAAGGTTTTACATTGCCCCATTGCAGCAGTTAGTGCCATCCACGAAATGCTCGCGACGGCGTAATCCCCATTGCCATTCTCCAATAAAAGCCTGACAATATCCCGATTGCCATTGCGTAAAGCATAGTCTAGAGCAGTCATGTCGAGGTGATCAAAGGACCAGAATTTCTCGACATGGTTCAGGAGAACTTTGCAAGCCTCCAAATGTCCTGAGGCGGCTGCCAAGTGCAGTGCGAGCATCCCGTTGTCGGCCTCCTGGTCGGGATTGATACCTGACTCAAGTAGAGCTGTGACAGCTCCAGGTACGTTGTATTGAGCGGCAATGTGTATGGCAGAGCGACCGAGAATGTCTGCCGGATTGTGTTGGGCACAGTAAGGGCCAATGTTGCTGTATAGGTACTTTTCCTCTTCTCGTGATGGGGTCCACAGCCCTCGACCAAGTCCTCGAAGAATACCATGCAGAATGGGGGCGCCAAGACAGTCCTGCAGGCTCCAGGTAGCCTTTTCCATGACCAATGTTCGAATCCAAGTAGCATTGACGTCAATGACGGAAGCATTTCGAAACCTTTCAATTACAGACATCCCTCCGTACCGTAGATTAGTTGCCTTGGATGGCACCGTGCACCAGTTCCAGAGTTTCTCCATGACAGGACGGAACTTTTCAAATCGACTGGCGAGGGTTTCGACGGCATGTAAGCTGTCTTTGCGGTTATGTGCCCTCTTGGCCAAAAGCTCATCCTCCAAGATCAAAACAGCACCTATCTCGTCGTTGAGAAGGTTACTCTTGATCATCGAATTGATGAGGGTGGATTCGGTAACAGAGAAAGATTCGTAGTCTTTCTCATTCCATTCGGTGTTTTTGGCTTGCAGGATGCTGCAGGCCGCAAGGTGTAATCTGGAGGCCTCTAACGCCGTGTTATGCGAATCGTTTTGTCCGGTCGAAAGACCAGCAATTTTAGAAGCGATGTGTTCGAGGAGATTCTCATGGAGAGTCTCTATGACAGTAACGAATTCACACCCGATGTTGCAAAGGGTTGTAATGTCCTCCCGCACGTATATAGTACCTAGATCCTTTTCCCAAAGGGATATTTTCGTTCTCACTCGATACAAAATCTTCAAGAAGCTAATCGCGTCCGACCTGAAGTCTGTCAGCAAACGCTTACTCTGGGACATGTAGGGGTTGCATACAAATCTGCATGGGTCCAATCGTCACAAGGATGAGTCGATGGGCGGTCCTGAGGAAGGAAGCTTGCCGAGAGCAGGAGGCCTCTTGGGTTTTCTCTTCTTCGCTTGCGAGCCTGTGTGCTGGGCGAGCACTTGAAGCCTTTGTCTTCGCAACGATCGCATCTCTGAGGCCATTGGCGTGGTTGTGGTGTGCACTGTTCGGCGGGTTAGTCAAAGAGAAAAGAAGCAGAAACAGAGGTTGGTTTATAGTAGCTACTTCCGTTTTCCAAAGTCCTAAAGTGCACGTTATAAAGAGGTGAAATATTTACTCACCTTCTTTCTATCTTTACGGCAGTGATCGCATTTCGCGAGGTCGAGCTTCCCACGGGAGCCCCGCCCCAATGGCCCAGTAGGATTCATCGTTTGTGGCTGGATTTGCCACTCTTCCATAATGCTCCTGTTGCCAGTGAGAAGGAGGCAATTAGTGCCTCGCACCCAGATATCAGCGGCGTCAAGCTTGAGGGAGGCAGTATAGAGGACCACAGTCCCAAATGAGAGATATTTGGTGTCGCAATCCAGAAAAAAGGGGATTCCCACAGCTGGCGTGGTGCAAGTTCGTCTGGAATTGGCTCCCGGGGGGTTGATGAAGGTAGGCAATGTATTGGGAAAGGTCTTGGGCACTGAGGTGCCTTTATAAGTACCGCTGACATAGGTTTATCCGGTCAGCCATCTTTCACTCGTTTTATTTGGTGATGATGTGCATGTGCTGGTGCAACTCCAAACCATGCTGTGGTGGCGCAGGGCAGCCTCAAGCATCATCAAGTATCGCACCTGTCGCACTTGATGCACTTGTGTCACCTGCTGTCGCACATGCCGCACATATCGCACCTGCTTGCACTCGTCGCATCTTACTCGTACCTTCTCAGTAAGGGCCAGCCATTATGCAACGACTGAACGCCCCCGCTGGATACTTGTCTCAGTCCACCATCGGGGACAGGTTACCCATGGATGTACCTATGTTATCACACATGCTGTCGACTGTGCTGATGTGCACTGCCCTCGCGATTGCTGTTCGGTGAGGCTGTGGGAATGAGCAACGATCATTACAGTAAAATGCCGGCACCTTGTAGCAACGCAAGAGTAAAGATACCTTAGCTTGACAGGACTCCTTATGTCGCCCAGGGCGTTACCGGGTTCTGATCTTCCCAGGTTGCGATTGGTCCCCTCAGATCTGTCCGCATCATCACACCTTCACCTCGCAATGGATATGTTCAATTACCTAGATTTAAACACTCCTGATCCCCCTCTGTTTTCTAATCACCTATCCCTGGTTCACCATGTGTGTTGCTCTGATCATTGACCATTGTGTTCTACAACATGGCTGTTTCCAATACAGAAGATCACGACCCCACCAGCACACCAGTGTGGACATCACCACAGTCCCAGAGTATTCAAGTCATTGTTTTTGGAATCATTGCCTCCTTGCTGACGATGGCAACGGCCTACCTTTCCTACAAACATCTCCAAGCAGCAAGAGTCCAGAAAAGCTCACCGCTGCCATTACACAATCCTCCAGGACATCAGACCATCTCCAGAACAAGGATTGGGTTCACTCGTAGAACTTCACGCCTGGGTGAGGGGGTGCAGGAGGAATATGAGTATGTAATCTCTCAGTTGCCAGGGAGCATAGTGCCTGCCGGTCATCTTTTACACCCTCTACTACCTATGCTCATGTTCTAACAAATGAGACAGGTTCACAGTCCCAGCAACTTACGCACGGCAGCTTCCATGATTTGATGCTGTCAGGCAACCCCAAGCAAATCAACAATAATTATCAGGCTACGGAAGCATTTTGACGGCATGGAGATGGCATAACGCAGGTCTCCGCGTGTATAGAACTTGGTACGAAACATTTTGGAAGAAGATGGGACGTCCAGATGTGTAAGATGTTGAGGTAGTGTTGATAGAGCGCCAATGGCACCCAAGGTCTACAAGCTGGAATCCGTTTCTCACTTTTCAAATACCTACTTATCAGTGCACTTGTCATCAGATAGAGCTGCCGCTACCAGCACAACTTCAAGCATGAATCCCTCTGCTAACAGCATTTGTGCTACGACTAACACCCGGCCTGGATACCTTGCTTCCCATCTCGGTACTGCAACGTAGGTATTTTGGCAAATCAAGAAAGCCCTATAACGGCCACAATCAATGAACAATTTGGGAGATGACTCGTCATCGTCATGCTGGTGTTATCAGCGGTCTACTATTTCACAGTGGTTGGTGGGACGGAGGTCAGTAAGTCTGTGGCAATCAGAGCGGTTGTTTCCCCCGAGTTGGCAATTCAGGACATTGTGCCTTCTGGTAATTTCAGGTACCACAAAAAGAATACCATTTCCTCGATGCGGGCTAATGATTACTGGGTTTCGAAAGCTCCACATGATTCAGAGGCAGCATGATGCGCATGTTTCCTTGGGAGTGGAGATGTTGTCCTACGTCAAAGCCGATTTATGGCCCTTGCTTGCCGACCCTTAGTCATTTGGAACTGATGACTCTTAGGTTGCCAAGCTGGTGAGGAAGAGTGATACTAAGACTACTAAGAGGCCGATGATCAAGAGGAACAGGCCGTGTGTTCTTGTCCATCGCTCAGTTGAAGAGTCGGTTGATGAAGATACAATGTGCCTTTATAGATGGGATAGCCAGCGCGGGGCGAGAGTATTGGCAAGGCTACACATGAGCCAAATATCGTGATTATCCCTATGTATATCCCAGTTCTTTATCCCGCTCTTTCGACTTTCGCCGGCGTGAGCCACCAGAGAGCGTACTCAGCATACTGACAAGGTGCGTTAATGGTCGAAAGAGACGCATTAGAACCCACTTGGTGGTGCTATTCCTCCGCCGTGAGCGAGACTCGGGACCGACTCGTATCCGTCGGTATCCCAGTGGATCGGGTCCGCCCCTTGCTATATCAGAGTGGCAATACCACTGCGGTACCTCCTCCGAACTCGGAACAACAACTGTAAATTTCCTTCTCCTGGATTCCAGAGTGCGTGTCCGTAGTATCTGTTTCTTCAGCTCTTTTGCAAATGGAGGCGAGCTGCTCCAAATGACTATCGCTTCCACACCCTTATCGTTCGCTTTGTCTGTTCTGGTAACTCGGTAGCCAGCTATCGTGGTGCTCGGAATCCTCGCCGCAGGTGTGTTCTGCTTGATGGAGGAAAGTGGAATATTTCGTTCAATCGAGATCAGCCGTGGTAGGAAGCTTGCGAACACCTTTTTTGGCTTCACTGTCGAGCGAGGTAACTTCATTTCTGCCGAAAGCAACTATCTGCCAGTCGCGTTGTTCGGGCCTATCGTCGCCGATTGCATGTGGACGATGGGTCGATGTGCACATGCGAAATACGTAGTCCGTCGGCATGGTAGGAGACAATCTTACAATTGTTCGGAATTGCCCTTTGTCTATCGAACTACGTCGGAGTCGCATTTTGACGCCAGAGGCGGGGGAGATGGCAAGAGGCAGAAAGCACAAGTGACAGAAACCGATTATACAAGGCAAGATGGGAGTTCCAAGTCAGAAGGAAGAAGTGCGCTGCAGCGCTGCAAATAACGGTGACCAGGCCTCCCGCCTCATTTCTGATACCAGCAGCATTAATCATGAGGCACATTTCCCCACCTTTTACACTTCTTCCAACACAGCCCCCTCAAACAACACTGTTAGGGCACCTTACACATTTTCACTTTCTTCCTCCACAAAAGGCAATTGGCAATCCCATACTGGCACACCAGAAGCCAGCTCAAACCCATCGACGCAAACAATTAAGTGGCTGGGACGATACCAATGATCACAAGGCTCTGAGCATGGTGATTAGCGCTGTGAGATCTATGGTGACGGGTGAGCATCACAGATGGACTGCACGCCACACTGCATGTGATCATGTGATGCAACGCTAAGATGCTTACCCAGCCTAAAAGTTGAGGCAGGCTGGAGGGCAGCTGGAGCGGGAGAGCTTGGTGTGGCCCCCACTTGTGAGAACACGCAAATCACATTGGTTCAAGACGCGGCGGTTCGTGTTTGGGAATAAATAGCGGTAGAGTCTACTGCATATTCCGGTTCCAACTGAATAAGAGCGGCATGTCTGCTGTGGGCAGGAAATATGGTGCGATGGATGTGAGGACCTACCCATCTCGGCCTCACTTACAAGTTCGGCAGCCATCTAGCTTTATCTGTACGAACCACGAACCCCACCACGGTTTGCACGCCGGAAGATTATGGCGGAACCCCCTCTCCTCCTCCCCCCTTATCGAGGTTCAGGCTATTAATCTTTCCAGGAACTCCTGAAGATGAACGGCGTACCCCCCCGGCCATGCAACCGGCCTTGAAGAACAATATCTACCGTACAAATTCAACCTCAAGACCACGTACTCGAAAATTTTGGCGACTTGTTTGACCTCTTTAGAATCTTACGAGACTCCTCTGGGGTGACAAAGTCTGACATCGCACAACAAGATCGCCACGATTTTCCTCATGGCCACAATGTAAGCTATTCTGTTTCTTGGGTGACCTTCATCGGTACCTATGTACCGAACGTAGGTACCTACTCGGGCGGTACTGACTTCGACCAGACCAGGCGCCTTAACAACTCTTTAGATCTGGCCGCACGCCTATGGCTCATGTTCAGTTTTGGAATGGAGAGGGAAGTGGCTTTGCGTGGGATGGAGATAAGACACTGTACGAGGCTGTGATGGCTATCATATCGCCCTTGACGCCACAAGACCGATACTTCATCAAACTCGGCAACGCCCATAGCCTTGACAACCCTCAACAGGATCCTTCAATAGCTATTGAGAGGATGGCCAAATATCTTGGAATTCTTGAAAAACCCTCATCGGGAAGTCAACCCGGCCAGCGAAATGCGCGTGTCTTTGCAGACACCTTTTTCCCCCAGCACATGATGAGGCTCACGTCCTTCCACATCGTATGGACAAATGACATTTTGGAGCATCTTGTTGTCAAAGTTTCGAAAAAGCAAGCCATCAAGCTACGTTTTTCATCACGCAACTGTGCTGAGACAAATGTGGCTATACGCAGCTGGGGGCCAGCACCCATACCGGGAGCTTGCAGAGGAAACCCTCAAGACACTGGGCTTACTCATACCCGTCGAGGACCTCGACACAGCCTCGTGGTTCGATGAACAGCGAGATGGGGGTGGTGGTTTTGAATGGCCGGAATACCGACGCACACTTCACATCATAGATGAAACAAGCTGGCACAACACTATCGACTCCTCAGCAAACACCACCGAGCCGAGCGACCAGATGTGGGTTCCCACCATCATGCCCGTGTCAAGGCAGGTTGACAGCTTTCGCATCTGGCAGGCCCGACTCTTGGCGCTTGAAGACACCTACAATCGTGCCTCTCCCCAGACCATCCTGGGTTTTTGGCGAGACCGACGGAACCTTCGCGAATGGTGGACCTTTTGGATCGCACTCCTTGGGCTTGTTCTTGTTTTGATTGGCTTTCTCGTCGCCACAGGCTCGCTTGCGGTTGGTGTAGTCTCCGTGCTAGAGGCCAAGGAGGCTAACAGATATGCCAGCATTGAAAGTGTGTTGAAAATGAGAAAGCTGCCTCTTCGGAGTCTTCGGCAGGCTGTTGTTGTTTGGCCACGACGTTGGACACCAGTGTGTCATTTGATGTATTGAGCACTTCTAACGAGGGTCTTGCTGTTGTTCAACCAACCGATATCTCCACATCTCTTGAGACGCGCGTGGCCAACGAAGCAACTGGCCCAGCATCCGCTACAATAACCTCCCCACCACCTGGCCAGATGTCATTTTTCTCCGCTGGTCGACCCAGAGAACCGTCAACTACGTGATTCTTTGTTGAGGCTGCATCGGTGATGGGCATCAGAGTGTGCCATGGCAGGGAGATCATGTCATAGATTACCTTATACAATGCAAGATGAATACAGTACAAGATCCATGGCAGAGTCAATATATCGAGCACCCACCCTCCTAGAATATTTTCCCCGACGTGTTCGACTGTTCTGCTTGCGTCATATATCTGAACTTTACTAGGAAGGTGGGTTATAGGCAAATATGGTCGTGCCTTCCCCTCGGTGCCCTCGATATGTTTTCAGAGCCACACTGTGGCTGATCTGACCCACACAAGGAAGCTTTGTTCTAATAGACCTCTCGCAACTCTTCCGAAGCAACTTCCGAATGAACCAAAGCATGGCAGCGTGGCTGTCCCAACACGGCAAGCAACATGGACTTCACCTCAGAGTCTAACCTGTTCTCTCTGGATGGCTCATCCTGGAGTCCAGGTCCCTCCTCCCCGCCGACCGAGGTTTCACCAGTACACATGGAGGCGGACGAATATGCCCTCCACCATGGCCTCACATTCCCCGGTATTGACCCCTGGTCCGACATTCTCGACGAAACCGGCACCATTGCTGCCACCATTGTCGACGTCCAACCCAGTCATTTGATCGAAAATGGAACACTGCAAGAATGCGCCTTCCGCCCCATCATCCCCGCACCGGAGCAATGGCAGGTGCCGGCTGAGTCAATGCAACTGCTTCAACAGACCTTTCAACGATGCACTACGATTGAGGTTACCGATCTGATGGAAGAATTGTGCTTGGAAGAAACCCCTAGCATGAAACAGCTCAAGCTCGAACCCCCCATCATTCGAAGCGACCACAATAGCGACTGCCACAGGTTGAGACGGAGAGTCACCTCTTTCCGGAAGGACACGCTGCCAGACCACGGCCTTCCCCTGGATGATGCCGATGTGGCCGAGGGTGAAGGGCTTGAGTTTGCCGAAAATGCAAATGCCATGGAGAAGGAATTGTTGAAGAAGGCTGCAACTGAGCCGCTCGAGGTTACAAAGGAGACAGTAGGATATCTTGTGCAGATTCTCAAGACGGAGTGGATCGACAAAGATCAGAGGGATCTGTTGGCTAGTAACAGCACTTATCATGGTGTAAGTTCGGCAGCTTCGTGGGTTGGCCTAGATGCTAACATTGTGTGAAGCTTCCAAGTTTTGGAGCTACAGAGCCTCTGTCACCGCCCCTGAGTCCTATGCTGGAACCATTCGACGATCTGTTTGTTCCTGATGAAGAGACATGTCGGGTTCCGCAACCTTCTTCTCCATTTTCTGACATCAGTGAAGAGATCCGGGTTGCGGAAAACAAGCTTCTTCGGCAAGACGAGATTTTTTGGGATGAGGCGTCGACAGCTCAAATCTCACCTGACCGCTCTGATGATATGGACATCACGGACATGATAAGAGGTGGGCTCTTTGAGTCATCAGTGCTGCCACCGATACACCACCCGCTCTCCGAGCACCCGTATCTCGACGTGCCAATATTTCCACCTCTTCCGCACTCGCAACCTGACGATGCCTTGTGGCTCGAAGACCTTACACATGCAGGTGTTCTGACTGAGCCAAGAAGCATGTCCCCAGAGATCTATGAGGAGGAACGCCATCTTTCAAGGTTCTTTGACGACAAGGCTGCCACGCTCGTGCGGTACGCTGAACAGGAAAGACTCGAGCCACTTGACGCCATAGCCCGGGTTTCAGTTCCTCTCATGGACTTCTCGTTGCCGACCCCGGCATGGGAGCAACAGCTCCAGAGCGCCAGGGCACAATTCGGCTTTATTCGAGGGACAACCGACGTCGACTGGCAAGGGACCAAGTGGGGTCACAACAGAGCGGCTGAGCAGCGGATGGTCTGGACGCCTATGGCGCATATGAAAGCAAAGACATTTGCACCTGAGGCCATCAAGGTAGACCAGGGGCACCTTGACCACTTCCTAGGACATGGAGAAGACGAACATGTGGTGACAAGTGAAGACCTGGTGCACAAGAAACCAGGACTGATGATCTTGCAGATGCATCTTGACGACGATGAAGAATTACTCCCTTTGTCCTCCACGGGAGACCCGACATTGACCACTTCACGTGCGAATCGAGAAGATGGGAGCTCGAGCGAACCACTGTCCAGGACAACAGTCACACACCGAGCCCGGCCAGTCGAAGATGGTGTAGTGGAGCCGCCGGTCCCAGGTCCCGTTGCGGTTTTGGCCGGCCAAAAAAGACTTCGAGCAGCTCCCATAGAGATACGGCCAATACCAAGGCCATCTGCCCACCCACCAACGCGCCGCATGCTCGGCCTAGCTGAAGGTGATAACCTCCCGCCGGTCCCAACAACAGATCTATTCCGGGGGCTTGTGCAAGAATACCCTGACTTCAGAACGTTGCTCGATTCTTTTGTTGCGGTCAACTTCCGCGCTGTAACAGACCGATCCAACAGCGGCCATCCCAGCTATCGGGTCAATAAACTATTCGGGGCCACACAACCAGCGGAGTCGCTCCCTGCTCTTCCTGAGATCCCAGCAGCTGCTCCAGACATTGCGCCTCCGGAACAGCGGCCCAGAATAGTTGCATCCTTCACGGCGGTTGGCCCGATGGCGCAGTTCTTAGCGAAGCTCCTCCCCGGAATAGAGATTGTACGTCGCGACTACAAACTTCACCGACCAGCTACATGGTTCCCAGGCCTGCGTTCGCCTAACCTTGACGATGCTGACTTGACAATATCCCCTGCCACTGGGATTATGCTGCTGACCATGGTAAAACTGCGTCAAAGGCCCATGCCAGGCCAACCGGACAAGACAGTGAACTATCACGGCGTGGTCCAGAATGCTGCTTTGCGGTACGAGCGGTTGATCGTCTTTGTGTCTGAGGGCAACAAGTTCAATGAGGCGATGACACCGCTGTCTCAGTCAGATGCAAAGGCGCTGGCCGAGTTTCAGGGATTTGTGGGCGGTTTGGACACAGAGGTGCGTGTGTTGTATGTGGGAGGAGGAACCGAGACGCTGGCGAAGTGGGTGGCGAAGACGATCTGTGACCATGCCAGCGAGCAAGCTGATGTGAGGAGCTTGGTGACTCCTCCGGAAACTCACCACGAGGCCTTTCTCTTCCGGGCAGGCATGAACGTGTTTGCCGCCCAGGTCATTCTCAAAAGGCTGCCTGTCCCGGCAGATGACTTGGCCGTAGGAGGCAAGAGAGGGCAGTCGTATGGATTGCCGAAGTTTCTGATGATGTCGTTGGAGGATAGAATCGCCATGTTTGAGGAATTGCTTGGGGGGCGGAAGATATTGGAACGAGCCAGCCGGGTTCTTGATGAGCCGTGGGGCCAACATGCGGTTGGCGAATATGACGATGACGATGTATTTGAGGGTTCTGACATGTAAGATGGCGGGAGGCGATCGATGTCGGATGATGTACTCGGATCTTTTGCCGGCTTTTTCTCTGAAAATCGTTTGCTCGATACCAGGTAGCTATGGGCAGTGTTGACCCCTTGCGATATTTGCTCAAATGCTTTGCTCAAATACCAAACTTCATTCTTTCTCTTCCACATCTCCCTCTAGTGGCTCAAATTCTTGCGCTGCCGCACCATTGCTGGCATCAATACTCCAGACCTTGAGGCTTGTTTCCTCGACGACAAAAGCTGGCTTTTTCCCGGATGACGAGTCATCCTCACTGTCGCTGTCGCTATCATCGCTGCTACCCTCATCACTGCTATCATCATCCGCCACCTTCCAACTCCCCGAGCAAGTAGCCAGCACACTCCCACTCGAATGCATAGCCGTCGCACCAACCGCACTTTCCCCATCATTCACCCCCCACTCCCAAGTCGGCTTCGTTTCCCCTTCGTTCATCCCAACCCCTTCATACATGACCACCGTCCCGTTCTTCGTCCCAGCCCAAACCTCAAACCCGTTGCCGTTTTGATCGGGAAAGACGTCGACGCCGAGTCGCTGATTTGTCGTCCCATCTCTGCCGGATAACCACCCTAGCAGCTTATGCGTCCCCCTCACATCATAAACCAGCAACCCTTCACTCCCTCTTTCATTCACAACCAAGTACCGCCCACACGGACTCCAGATTGTTTGGACTACTCCCTTGCCTTTAATCCCCGCTTCGTGATCAGCGGAGGGTTTAACGCTGAAGTTGGCGATGACGCTGCCGGAGCGGTAGATGTCGTACAACCCCACCCACCTTGTCCAAGTTCCCGCAGCTAGTATCCCCTCCCCAGCACCTGTCGGCTGAAGCCCCAACGCGGAAACGGTCCCTCGCATTCCTATACCATTTCCCTTGCTGATGTGACGAGTGGAGGGGATGGTAGGGATTCTCAAGAGGGGGGTAGAGCACAGGGAATCAGGGCGGGAGATGTCGAATAAGGCGAGGAGGTTGGTTGTTCCGGTTATGAAGTGAGTACCTGGGGAGGGCCAGACGAGGGAGGTGATGGGGAGGTAGGATTCTGTTTCTGGTTTTATCAAAAAGAAGGAGGCGAGCGGGGGGGAAGCAGGGGAGAAGATGGGGGTTAGGTGGATGGGGTGGTCGGTGGTGGCGGTGAGGAGGTATTGAGTTGAGGGGTGGGAGAGGGAGAAGTAGGGAGAGGGGGAGAAGGTTGAGGTTGGTTCTGGGAGGGGGAGGGTTGATGTTGGGGTGAGGGGGGGGTGAGGGGGGGTGAGGAGGGTGGAGGGGAGGACGTAGGTTTGGATGGAGGGGTGGGAGGTGAGGGTTAGGAGGGTTGTGCCGTCTGCTGTCCATTGGGCTGATTTGAAGAAGGGGGTGTCGCGGTTGCGGGGGTCGGGGGATTTTGGGAGGGAGGTAGTTGGGCAGGTGGTTGAAGTCAGGAGGTTGAGGGAGGGTTTGTTCATGGTTGGTGGTTGAATTTCGGGAGTAGGTTCTCTTAATAAATGGGTGGGTAGTTTGTGAGTCGGGGAATTTTTGTTGGGTTCTGTCGACATCTTGGATACTCTCTCTGTATTTTGTATTTTTTCGAGTCAATGTTGAATGAGAGAGAGTCTGAGGGAAATCGTCTTAATATTGAGCTCGATGATAGTCGCGATGAGGTGAGAGTTGAAGTCAAGCTGCAAATAGTGTAGACCGCTTTGCCAAGTATCTTCTCACATGAATTTGCTGATAAAGTACCTTGATCAATGGAAAGCGCTAATAGCGAGAACCTTGAAGGTCTAGGGCGTCGTTGCCCCACATTTCCTCCCCTACAATGGCGGCGGGCGCCCTTGAAACCAGCACCCGGCAGGCAACTGCAGGGGGAAAGCTACGCAACCATGCATGAGCTGTCCGCCTGACGCCTTCTCCAGCTCACCAAACATCCAGTCGCGACATCAGCCTCGAGAGTCGCGGCTGCTCCTCACCAAAGTTACCAGACGATTGAGACGCAGTGTCATACGAGAGAGACTCTGTGTGGGACAGAACCAACGTCGAGCAGGAGCCCTGGTGCCAGCATCTCCCGAGAACTCCCCGCAACAAAAGCGTCTCCACCGTTATCAGCCATCACCAAACCCATCAAGGTATTCAAGATGGAGTCACTATTCAGTGCAGACCGCTGCGAGAAACTTCGCGACCTTAACGTTGTGAACCTCATCGTTTCGAGGTGGGCCTGATCTTCTCTCATGCCTTCTTCCTGTACTGACAGTCCCGCAGCGTCATCGTGGTTGGCATGCTCATCAGCTACCTACCCCAGCACTTCCGAATCATCTCGCGCGGCACCTCCGAGGGCATCTCCCCGTACTTTATCCTGCTCGGTACAACCTCGGCGACATCGGCTTTTGCCAACATCTTGCTGCTTCCCCAATCGAGACAAGACGTCGCCTGCTGCAAGGAGCTCGAGACATTGCACTGTGTTGCTGGACTGCTTGGGATTGCGCAACTAGGTGTGCAGTGGATTTGCTTCACCTTCATGTAAGTCTTTATTTGCTGGGCATGGTGGGATCCGTTGTTAACAAACCCATAGCTTCGTCTTGTTCCTCGTCTTCTTCCGATATAATCCCGCCCACGACCCCGATAACGAAGAGCTGGGTGAAGAGGAGGACCAGCCGAGGTGGCAGACAGCTCTGTTGGTAGCCTCGTTGACCCTGCTCCACGGCCTCGCTGTCATTCTCGTTACGGGCATTCTGTCGACGCTTGCCAAGGACCACCTGGAAATTTGGGCCAACGTACTGGGCGTCATGGCTGCTCTTTTGGCGGCAGTGCAATACGTTCCGCAAATCTGGACGACTTACCATCTTAAGCATGTGGGCAGTCTCAGCATTCCCATGATGTGCATCCAGACGCCCGGTGGCTTCCTCTTTGCGGCCAGCTTGTTTGCGCGCCTTGGCTTGGCTGGTTGGAGTTCGTGGGGCATTTTCGTCCTGACGGCCACCATGCAAGGGCTGCTGCTGTACCTCGCCATCTACTACGAGATCCAATCCCGCAACGGCCTCGTCAGTTCAACCATTGACAGCCTGCCGCCATCACATCTTCACGCTAATGGCTTTGATGATGATACTCCCGGCCGGTACACCTCTCACCCCGAACACTACGCCAACTCCCCAGACCATCTCCAGACCATCTTGGATCGTCAGGATAGCGACGCAGCAGCGGAGACCACACCGCTGCTCAAGCCCGGCGGTATTGGCGACCCTCACAGGAATTTTGACACCAACCGTGGATAGGATAACGGAAAGTCTGATATTCCGTATTGAGGGCGGTTAAGCATTGTTAGGTTCATATTTCATTTCTTGACCAGTTAGGAACAGAGGACGACTCTGTCCGGTATCTAAACGACTTGCATTACATTGGGACGCGGCGTTATGAAGGCGGCTTGAGCCCATTTTTTTGGCAGGTAGGGTTATCGAGTCTGAAATATATGGCGTTTGGCTTTAAAGGGAAGAGGAGCGCTTCTAGAGTGGTTCTGTGTTTTGGGGAGGATGACGGATGGTTAGGTTAGGGTTAGGGTGCATGTAAGCATGTGGTCGGTTGCTTGAGCGACTCTTATCTTTCGACTTTTACTTTCGACTTTTACGAGCAATCGCAGATTTGGGGATCATGCTACATGATGTGTAGGTACGGTACGATGGTTGATCAATACGAACACGACTATTTTTACGCCAATTCTTTTTCCCCTGCAGCAGCACTGACTGCTTGACTGACAGCGACGGCGTCGCCGACCATGAGTGATATTGAACGGATCGTGTTGTTTCGACAATCGCCCACCCCGAGAATCTGCAAGATGCTAAGCGACCCTCCTCCTCCTCCCCAGATCTTTGCACGCCCCGTCTGATGGGGGGGGTTTTCTGGGGAAGGCCTGTTGTCTGAGGATGGATTGGCATCTGAGCGCGATATGCTTGACAATGCGATCTGATGCAACCCCGCGCGCGCGCACGGGCATGGAACCCAAACGCCAGTGGCTTGACGGGCGAGGACACATCTGGGATAGATCGCGGGTCCCTGCAGATTGGATCTGGGAGGGATGGAGGGCTGGTTTTCTCTTTTGTGCATTGCCTTCAATGGTGATGACCCGGGGGCTGACCACCCCTTTTTTGGTTAACATTTGGCTCCGAAGCAGGCGGCAAAATGGCTGTCTGTTCTGATCGATGGCCGCGACAAAACATCAAACTTGAAGAGGTATTTATCCTGAGGGATTGGGGCAGCGGGTAGAGAAATAAGGCTTGGGGCTCTTGGGGGGATTGTTCCGGTGGTGTGGGTGTTTGGCGAACCGGAAGGGGCACGGGTTGAGGGGGATGATCTGCTTACATGGAACAAGGCTGTTGGGACATCCTTCAAGAGTGCCGTCTCATGTGGTAGTTTACCCGCCACAAGCAGCCACAGACCGGATGGGCTGGAGCTGTGGTGGTCGTGGTGGGTGAAGCACTGTCCGGCATTGGGTTGATGTGAGGTCGATCAGGTCTGGCATATGCGATATGCTTTGTCTGCGACGGGTTTGGGGGACTGACTGGCGATGTTCCGCGAGGTTGGTTGGTATAAAGGGTGTTGGGCAGGTTTTTTGGGGTTCGTGGTGTGCTCGATTCCCCCTTCTCTTTTTCTTCTTGGTCTTGCCAAAGTGTGTTGAGGATGGTGGACGTCTCATCATAATGTTTATTGCTTGTCTGGATGACGAATTATCCTGACACTTTTCCTCGAACACTGATCTCCCATCACACTTGTCATCACATACATTCCAACTGGGTTGGATGATTGATCACACACATATCACAATGTCACCTTCACACAGTCTACAACGTACGAAAATACTGGATCGAGCGAGGATGAACCGACGACAGAATAACCCCTGCACTCGGGCGAGCGGGAATGGGACGACGATAGGGAGCGTTCAGGACTTTACCCTGTTTTGCAACACCAACCTCGACGGGGATGTTGTGGAGAGGTTGGACGCGTTCGACTTGACGGCGTGCATGGATCTCTGCTCCTCTTTCCACCCTCGCTGCGATGGGGCGTCGTACGACGGGACAAGATGCTTCTTAAAGACCCGCCTCGCACCGGTCGACCCGAGGCAGTTCGTGCGTGGTGTCGACTCCGGAATCGCCTCCTTCCCCGAAGCCTCGTCCAACTGCCCTGCATTACCCGGCACCCAGGTGGCACTGGGGACAAACTTCCAGGTCATGTGCGGGTTCATTATTGCTGGGAGTGACATGAGCCAGAACTTCGCACCGACATTCCAGGATTGCTTGGGACAGTGTGCTGCTACATCAGGGTGCGCAGCCGTGAGCTACGATCCGACCTTGAACCTTGGGTTCAAGAACTGCTATCTCAAGACCGGCGTCGCCGACCCGGGAGATTTAGCCGCGGACCGGAGGACGGATTCGGCGCGTGTGTTGGCGGCGGCTGACCCGAATCAGCCCCCGCCCGGGCCGGGGGTGTCGACTATTCCGGTGCCACCGGGGGGAGCGGCGAACGGCAATGGGGTGGTCTTCTTCACTCCTCCCGCGAACCCATCCATAACCCCATCCTCTATTGAGCTCCCACCCGCCGCCACCACAACGGCTTTACCAGACGAAGCCACTACTGCGGTCCCTGATATCAGCTCAACCACTGAAACCCTCGCTCCGCCGCCGGCCTTCCCATTCCCTACCCCCTCCGCCTCGCCAGATCAGTTCCCCGACACCTTCTCCGGCGGCGCCAACGACCCCTCCATAGACCCCCCCTCAAGCAACGCCTGGATCGCCGCGCCCGTCGTCGGGTCAGTAGCTGCCATAGCACTGATAGTGATATCCTTTATCATGCTCAAACGCCGAAGGCAATCATCCCCTTCTTCGTCCCCGACCGAGCCGAGAAGGGACATTTCTAGACCGTCACCAATATCAGGGTTGTTTACCGCTTGGTTGCCCAGTCGGTGGTCTTCCAGTCCAGTGCCGAGGGTTCCGCCTTTGCCGGTGGGGATAGGGAATAGTAATGTGAGTAGGAGTTCTACTGTGGGTAGTAGCGGGAGGAGGATGGGGAATTTTAGTGAAGTAAATACTGGGGAAAGGAGGAATAGTGTGAGGAATAGTGTTTTGAGTATGGTGGGGGACAGGGATAGGAGGGGGATGGAGAGGCTGGGGGATATTGAGGAGGGGGAGATGGGGAGAGGGGAAAAGGAAGGGGAAAGGGGAGGGGTGAAGGTTTATGAGGTTAGGAATGGGAGGGCGGAGCTGAGGGAGTTGAGGAGTAGTTTGAATGGGTTGGGGCAGAATCGGTGGTCGTGAGGGGTGTAGTAATGTTTGGTGATGGTGAATGGATGGATGGACTATGGCAACAAAAGCGGGTAGGATAGAGGATTGTCTTTGGGGGAGGTGGAGTTGGAGGTAATACCATTTTGTTACTCTGTGCTGTTTATTTTTGTGCTGCTCACTATCGTCCCCAATGTTTCGAGTTCAAAACGCTCTGCTTGAGGGGAAGAGTCATGTTTCCTGGACTTGAGAAGGGTGGGCATTGGAAAACTTGTCAGACAGAGCCTATCGACTGTTCCCCGGGCCCTCCTCAGACATCGAAGACCCATCATCAATAAGGGCGTGCCTTTGAGACATGTGGTCGTCGATGATGAATTGGAGTCACTCGCCGAGCTCCGCATGCCCTTGCGCTCCGCTTCCGATTGGCTGCTCACCCCCGACAATGGTCAATGTGTCACTGCCAGTCATGATCCCCTCCCCCTCTTTCATCATCCATCTTTCCTAAGCATTGTTTCACCGCTTCTGGGACTGGGGAGGATTTCTTTTATTTACTTTTCAACCTTTCTCCTCTCCTTTTCCTTTTCCTGAACTCTTTTCTTTTCCTATCCGGACCTCTATTCCAGCTGCCCCGCGGTTCTTATCACCGAGAGATAAGGCCCGTTCTTGGCATCTTGCCGGGGAAGTTCAACGGCCACTTTACGCGCTTTCGCCGTCACCCTTCTTCGCACAACCTCTTCGCGAGGATTTTCCGGCTTTTGCGCGCGTGCGCGATATCTACAAGTTGGTATTGATTGACAATACGAAAACAATGGCAATCACCCAGCACCCCCCCTCCGCCCCCTCCGAGGACGGCGGACACTCCGACAGCCACCCTCAACAGCAGCACCCCCCATCCGCCCCCCTGCATCAGCACACCCTCTCCTCCGCCTCAACAGCCACGGTCGACATCGAAGCTTGGACCGTCTCGGCGCTCGAGTCCCTGAACATCACCCCCCAAGTCGCGCGCGGGACCTCGAACTCGCTCGCTATCCCGATTGATAGCCATGATCCCCCTGCCGCGGCTCTCAAGCTGAGGTTTGACCCCGCTGCGGGTGCAGCAGGGCAAACAATCACCCCTCCTCGCCGCCCCCCGTCAAGAAGGGACTCGATGAAGAAACGGGAGGCGTTGATCAAGGGAAACCCTGGGTCGAGACAGAGGAGGAGGTGGGAGAACGATCACCTTTTGGGGGTCCCCAACGCGCAGCCGCCTCTGCCGAGTGATTACCAGATTCAGCCTACGTATCCTGTCTTGCCCACGGTGCCGTACCAACTTGCGGGGTACTGGGAACGGGGGTTGAGGGAGGTTGTGGAGCGGAGGAAGCATCCTAGGCAGGAAACTAAACCGGGCCCGGGGGGGCTGGGGTATATACCCCAGAACTTTCGGGCTACGGCGAAGAGGACGCCGGCGGTGGGGAGATGGTTGAGGGTGTTGGAGGAGCCGGTTAGGAGGTTTGTTGTTGAGAGGGGGCTGGCGGTGACGGTGGAGGAGCAGGAGACGCGGGAGGAGGAGGAGGCGATGGAGAGTGAGGAGACGGATCCGGAGGATGAGGAGATTGTGTTTGTGGGGAGGAGGGGGGATAAAGTGAGGGAGGGGAAGCCGCCAGTGGAGACCGAGATCAAGAGTGCTACGAGGCGGGTTGGTGGGGAGCAGGAGAGGGGGATGGTGCTTGATACGGCGGGGGATGATGAGGTTGGGGGTGCGTTTAAGTATGTTTCTCCTGCCCAGTGACTGTGTGTGTGATATGAGGGTACTAATGAGCGCGCATTTAGACGGTGGTTGACGCACTCCATCTCTGATTACTATGGCTTGGACTCTAAGAGTGTTCTCATCCAGGGGCAGGGTAGCAAGGGGAAGAAGGTCATTTTTGTGGGGGTGAAGAAGCAGCAGCAGAGGAAGGTGGCCGTGAAGGAGCAGCATTTGCCTGTTTTGCCACCGCCGCTGTGGGAGATGTTCTAAGCTGGGGGTTGGTAAGCTGGGCAAGATTGCTACTGCTCCAGAGAGCTCCAGTTACACCGCGTGATGGGCAAGCGTATATATATTTCCGGAGCGTTTCGGTTCACCTCGAGTGACCTGACCTGGCGTGGATAGGTATACAGCTTGGAAGAGATCAAGTCCACAAGGCAATGATGGATCGAGAGTGACTTCCTTTGGTCCTTGCCCTCGGGTCTGTTGCACAAGAAGCTTTGGGCCAAGCTTCCAAGAATGGGGCATGCCGATCGAAGGCGAGAAACAGTGGTAGGTGCTTAATGGTCGAGCACTGTCAGTCTCGATAGCAAATAGCGACCCTCTGGGAGCTGGCACGCGTACTCGTATAGTACTTGTACGTTCGAGCACCGGTGATGGATGGTCACAGTGTTTGATGCGTCAACGATCATGAACCTGCACCCCTGCTGCCCAGGCGTATATGCCTTGATCATATGACCCCCTTTCTTTGATAAAGAGTGGTACTGTCACCTCAATAGGGCGCCGATCATACAAGTACCGGTTGACGTTACTGAAGCTTGACCTACCCGGCATGTATTTGCTTAGGGGCAATTCTTTTGGAAACGAAGCCCCTAAAACGGTTCATGCAGGCGCTTGGAGGTCGAGAGGTTGAGTGTCATTTTGATGATTCGGGGAATGGATGTGCCGGTTGGAGGGTTTATGCCTTGGTGATGGTGACGTTGTTGTTTCTGGGGAGGGAGGGGGGGGTGATGCGTGGGGGTTGGGATGGGATGGGATGGGATGGGATGGGATGGGATGGGGAATGTTGAGCAGGAGAGGATGTTGCGTAGTAAATGGTGGGAAAGAGGGATGAGATGCATGATAGGTGAGTGATAGACAGCCACAGCGGAAGAGGCGTTATAATTGTTCGGACGACAGGCCGAATGAGATCTGATCGATTGTAATAGATGGGAGCATGCTCGAAATCGAAGGTTCATCACATGCTGTATCAGAGGGCGGCAAATACCATGTCGAAATCCCATCTCTTCAGCCAAGCGAAGACGGGCGAATGCCATTATCTGACGGCTCGCAAGCTCATCTCGTTTTCGTCTGATGTTGACCTTTTCCAAGAAACCCGGAGAGGGTTGTCTCTTTTTCCTGTGGCTGGATGACAGTGGTGATCACGAAAACGGCAGGAAAGATTTGCTCGCGTACACGTTGGGTCGGCGCCGTGGTTGGGGATTTCAAGGGGAATGTCGACATGTTTCTGTGGTGTCTGAGGAAATCTCCGATGGACCGTCACTAACACTTGGCAACAGAAATTGGGTGGAACGGTGTTAGCGGGGATGACGCCGCCAACTCGCGAGCCACCGTTCATCGTTTCGAGCGGGGCGCTACGTACCTTCAGCGTCCCCCTGCATGCGGCTCTGTCCATGCATCCACCAAGGTGAGACAGGCGACGTCCCATGTTCCGTCTGATCTGATCATGGACTTCAGAGAGGAATCCAATGTGACATCACAAGGAAATTGCTACGGTGAGCCCACTGGAGCCTCTCTCGGTTGCCAACACCAAGAACGGCCATTCTTCGCCCTGCCATGCGACCTTGTCATCTTGTACAGGTCCACCGCAATCCTTACCTCCGAACAGTTGTAATCATGACAGGAAGAAGAATCTCAAGCTGCCCAGGCATCGCCAAGGGGTCAAAGCAGGCAGTCGTCAGTCCAAACGGGAAATCCGGACTCTCACCAACGCACTTACAATAAGCATGGGTCTGCCACACCTCCTGAGCGGGAAGCTGGGTTATGGTCAAGCCCCACAACCACAAGCGCCCACGCGGCTCACGGTGTTCGTCTTGTTCCGGAACACATCGCAACCGGTGGCGCCCTTCTACGCCAGCGGCTCACAGCACCCTGTAGCTGGTGTATCGACAAGGGCCACCTTGCTAGTCATAGTCTCTAGCTTCGTCCTGACAATCGGTATAGGCCTTGCTCACCGTTGGCAAGGAGGAGAAAGAGAATCCCAGGATCCATGCTCCCCCCGTCTGGCGGCACATCCTCCCGATCTTCCTGCCTCTGGCATAGCCAAGTGGCATATGCCCATACTCCGTATATAAGATACCACCACCCTTCACAATGTCACCGTTTCCTTTCCACCTCTCTCCTCACGCTCATCCCGACTTCGTCCTCTCTTTTTTGTTAGCTTTAGTTCTGTGAACTTGGCTCCAAGACGCTCTTTTGGTACACGATCATTTTTACATCCTTAGGCCGGGCCTCCCTTCTCTTTCAACTGTACATATCAGTCCCTTTTTGTGTGTAAACATCACCACCACCACCACAAACAACCAACCATCACCATGAAGTACGGAACTGCTCTTGTGGCCATCGCCGTTGGCCTCGCCTCGGCCCGCGATGTGCCCACTTACTCCCTCCGAGCCACCAAGCGCGAGGTTCCCCAGGAACACTCGCACGAGGCCGTCCTCCGCGCCTGCAACGTCGCCCTCAAGCTCAACAACCCAAACAACATCCTCGACTGCGTGTTCCCCCTCCTCGGCAACGCCGCCGCCGCCAACGGCGCCGGTGACATCTCGGCCGATCGCCTCGACTGCCTCCAGCAGATCGTCGCCGACCAGGCTCTCACCAACGCCAAGGCCGCCAACGACCTCGACTTGGCCATCAACGCCATCCTCTTCCGTGCCCTCGAGCGTAACACCTTGACCGTCGGCGAGGCTTCCCCCCTCTGCAACGAGACTCCTGTCAATGCCGAGCTCGTCAACATCAACCAGCACCAGGATCCTGCTTCTGCCGAAGCGGCCAACAACGCCGAGGTCGAGCTCGAGGTCGCCAAGGCTTTGTTCTCCATCGGGGCTGACCCGCTTCTTGCTCTGCAGAGCGGCACCTTTGCCCCTGGTGAGATTGGCGACCCTACTGCTGCTGGTAACACCTGCAACGACGAGAACGATGCGATCGGGTGCATCATTTCCCAGAACCTTTTGGTGCCTGCTGTTTCGGAGGCCGACATCCTCGCCGCTGTTGGCGATCAGGAGGTCTGCGAGCCTGTTGTTGATGACGGGCCTGCTGTCGAGGAGCCCCCGGCTGTCGAGGAGCCCCCCGTTGACGAGGAGGAGGTCTGCGAGCCGGTCGTTGAAGATGAGGAGCCACCAGTCGTCGAGGAACCCCCCGTTGAGGAGGTCCCCACCGGCACTGTGAACGTCCAGACCTTCACCGGTGCCCTCGGCGGCCCTGCCCCCGCCGTCATCTCCGACCCTGCTTCCAACCGCCCCTTCTCCGTCAACGGAAACACCTTCCTCCAAGCCGGCGCCGCCATCCAGCGCTCGTGCGCCATTCAGAAGAACGCCTGCGCCAACGCTGCTAATTCTGGTCAGATCCAGGGTGGTGCTGGGCAGTGCGACCAGCAGGAGGCCGCTTGCTTGGCTGCTGCTCGTCGTCGCAAGGCTCGCCGTTCCGTCGTCGGTCGCCGCCAGAATGTCCTGGACTTTGGGAGCTGCGGCAGCCCCGCTATTCAGTTCGCTGCTGGGCTTGACGGGCGTCAGGAGGAGAGCTTCCAGCCTGTGAACGCGGCTGATTTCTCGCATGGGTCTGCGCTCAACATTGATATTATTTCGTTCTTTGTCTGCCAGAGGCTGGATAGTGCATGCAAGGCTAGCCCCGAGACGATCGAGGCTTGTGAGGAGGGCGCGGCGGCTGCTAGTCAGGCTGAGGGTGCTCAGGCTGCTAGCGTGTTTAATGCTGCTTTGGGGTTGTGAAGAGATGTAGGATAGTTTGTGAAGGGGGTGGAGTGCGAGGAGGATGTATACTTTTGAAATATGAAGGGTAAATCATGGAAACAGTTTTAACCCGGTATTCTTTACGCTGTGAGGCGTGGCTTTTTATTATTATTTTTTTGAGAGGGAGCAGGAGGGAAATGGAGACGGAAATGAATAGTTACTATTTTGTTGTCTGTGTTTTTTGGTGAAGTGTGAATCTTGCAAGTGTGACTTTTTGTGTGAAATGTCTTGGAGCTGGGGCTTACATTTATCTCATGTGGATTAGTACCGCACTTGGGGTATCAAAGGGGCCAGAAGAGTGTGTGTTAACAGACACACAAGACATCTCTTGGTTCTAGATCAAAACACCAACCTCCCTTCCCTCCCTCCCTCACTACTCATCCTCATCATCCATCTCACTATCCTCCTCCTCCTCCACCTCCTCCTCATCATCATCATCCTCATCATCCTCATCATCATCCTCATCATCCTCATCATCATCCTCATCATCCTCATCATCCTCATCATAATCCCCACCAATATTCCACAAATTACGGCCCCTTCTCCTGCTCCCCGTCGGCGGCTCCCCCCTCCAAGTGTACCCCTCCCTCCTCATCAACCTCTTCAACCGCCCCTCCACCCAATCCTCCTCCTCCCCCCTCGGCGGCTCCCGCCTTATATCCCCCACCTCCATCCTCGGCAACCACCCCGGAAAAGCAAGATCAATCTCCTCCTCAAAAAACCACCCATCCGCCCTCACCTTGTCCACCAACTTGCTCAACTCAACCCTCTGCCCCCTCCCCTCGACCAAGTCCCTCTCCACCTCGATATTCTCCCCCAGCAAACTCGCCCCGATCAACCTGTCAACGTTGCACATGGCCCCCAACTCAAACTCGGCCTCCCTCCCCTCGAGGATATACTCCTGCGCCGTCTTTGGGATTTTCTCAATCTCCCACTTCCAGCTGGGGTTGTCCGGTTCGGGCATGTGGTACCGCCAGGGGAGATCAGCACATCTATTGCGTTCCATCTCCGAGAAGTTGAGCCGGAGGCGGCAGCGCGGGCAGGTGATGGCGCCCTTGCCGCGGAACGTGGCTGGGTAGGGGTCCCAGCATTCGGTGTGGAACATGTGGCCGCACGGCAAGACAAGACCAGCGCGGACGCGGTCCGTCGGGCTGAGGGGGAAGGTTGTCAATGCCGAGCCGGGGGTCGCGGGGGTGATGATCTCGCCTGTTTCGGAGCGGCAGATGTCGCAGCGGACAAATGGGACGGGGCGGCGGGCTTTTTGCTCGGGGGAAAAGGAGAGGTAGGTGCGGAGTTGGTGGACGTGGTTGAGGAGGGCGCGGCGAGGGGAGGAGGAGGAGGCCATGTTGATGGATGTACCTATAAAAAGGGGTATTTGCTGGCGTATCCCACCGGGAGGGCTACCACAATAAGAAAAGAGCAGACAACGTATTTGTTGACGAGAACCCCTAGAGGTTCACTTTGAGCAGAGAGTTTCACTTGCGTCCCAGTCCTATAAACTCCCGTATTAAAAGGGGGGTTAACCATCATCACCGGGAAAGGCTGGAGAGGATACTTTAACAACACCACTCTCGTAATAGTCAACAGCCAACTAACTCTGAACCGCTTCTTTCATCAAGAGGCACGTTTCCGGAACCCTGCCACCAAAACTCATGTTGTCGACTTGATTAGGCTGGAACAAAGCGGCGTGGGTGCTTTGTCTCAACATACAAGACAATTTTCAGTCCTCGCCAGCCATGAACAGCAAAGTTGAGCCATATGTTGAGCCAAAGAAACACTCACTAGCATTGGCAAGGACAACAGGTAACTTCAAAATTCCCTGCGTGCTTGAGTCTCCAGTATATCCATTTCTACCCTCTCTCATCTGTCTGTTTGACACGTCTATCAATATTGCTCAAACCACCGCCTCCCCTTCTCATGGTACTAATACAACAATTTCAACGTCAGCTCCTCCCAGCTACCCCAACCCCCTAACCCCTCTAGAAAACCTGCGCATTGGTGGTGGACAAGAATATACAAGTTTTTGCATTTTAGGTTCTCTCTTTCTCTCTCTCTCTCTCTCTCTTTCTATCGATTCGCTCGCTTTTTATTTTCTCCGCAACAAAACCGCAGCAAAGTAGCAAGCGTTTAACCAATAACCAGCTTGTCGTCCTCGGGGAACTCGTACGCGGGAATCTCGAGGTTCAGAGGGGCAGGGCCCTTTCTGATGCGGCCCGAAATGTCGTAGTGGGAGCCGTGGCAGGGGCAGAACCAGCCGCCGTACTCACCGGCCTCGCCGATGGGGACGCAGCCCAAGTGTGTGCAGACACCTAGTTGTGTTGCTGTCAGTATCATCCATCACCCTCCCCCCCCCTATTTGTTGTGTCTTGACATACCCAACATGACAAGCCACTCAGGCTTCTGAACACGATCACTATCGGCCTCGGGGTCTCTTAGCGACGCAACGTTGATGTTGTTGGCCTCCTCAATCTCGGCGGCTGTGCGGTGGCGGATGAACACGGGCTTGCCTCTCCACTTGACGATGACCTGTTATTTTTTGTTGTCTCCGTCAGCCAACCTTCCTATCCCTTCTCAACTATTCTCCAGAGAGAAAGAATCCTTACGTTCTTGCCCTCGGGAATGGCATTCAAATCAACCTCAACCTTGGCCAAAACCAAGACGTCAGCAGAGGCGGACATGTTGACGAGGAACTCTGTATAGCAACCACACTTTTAGCCCCCCCCTTTTTAACCAACCCCAAATCCCTCCAATTGACTCCCCCCCACCCCTTTGCCCCCCCCGTCGGTCCTTCCTAACCCCAAAATCACCTACCCTGAATGGTACTCTTCGCCCCCCCCGCGGTGATCGCACCCAACGTGCCCACCATGAAATAGCTAATCAGCGCATTCGAGCTCGGCTTCTTGTCCGACAGGTACTTTGAGAAATCCGGCACCTTGGTGCTGTTGCTCTCGCCCTTGAAAGGGCTAGAGTAGGAAGAGTCGCCGCGGACGGCCGGGGTCGTCGAGATGGTGCGGGCGGCAACACGCAGGACGGAGGGACGGGCGAGGGCGCGCGTCACGGTCGAGAGGGGCGCCATTGTTGCTTCTGCTTCTTTAAAAAAAAGAGCGGTGGTGGTAGGTAGAGGGGAGAGAGGAGAGAGAGACACACAAAGTCGACGTCGGCGTCCGTGGACTGAGGTTTTTTGGTTAGTCTCACTTTCGCTTTCTCTGGGCCGAGCTGTTCCCACATTTCCCGACCAGTTGTGAACTTGGCCTGTGCACCAAATGTCAAACGTCTGGCAAAGGTGGCGTGCCTGAGGCAGCTAATTTGCAATTGCCTGGCTGGTGATTGGACAGAGCCCGAGGACTCCGATTCTTCCCGTGACATGCCAAGCCCGCTTTACACTACACTATCCACAGAACACTCATGCTTGCTGACATCACTCATTCCCATGAATAGTCTCACTGAAGAAGAGGTCATTATCAACATCGACAGCAGATCAATTCATGTACATTTTACGGGATATCTCTCAGTGCATCCGCCTCAACTCCTCCACAACATTCCTCATGTGCTCTAAACTCGGCCCCAAACCCTCACAAATCTCCCTCTGCGTTGCCTCGTCCTGGTCTAGAAACCGCTCTAATAGCTCCCCGTCTAAGAATCTAACCGGCTCGCTCCCCTCCCTTTCTGCATTTCTAAACGCCCTGTAGCAGTTGAACTCGATCTCCCCCGCCGTGTGTACAACTCTCGCCAGCTTTTCCTGGAATCGTAATAGCAAGTCCTGAGCCTCGGGCGCAACGGTGCCGAACATGTATATACCGCCATTGACCTGTCTCTTGTTAGCATAACCGTCTTAATATTGGACACCACCGAGCGACTTACCGTCCCCAAAAACGCCCTCGGCACCACCATCGCCCCCCTACTCGTCTCAACCCTCACCGCCCTGATCCTGTTCACCATCTCCCCCAAATTCATCTCCGCCGTCACGCTCATAATCTTCCTATCCTCCATCACCACCGCATCCGCATTCCTCCTCAACATCATCAGGTTCCCCTGATCATCCGCCTCCAGCCAGTCATCCCCATCAACATGACACAGCGCCGTGCCCGCAGCCGACTGCCAATGCCTGGCCACCTCCACCAGCCTATCCTTGTCACCAGGCATGTACTCAACCAGCGTCATACTCTTCATCACGTCCGCCACCCCGATGATATTTCCCTGCGCCGCAATCTGAATCGGATGCGTCGACGGCTTGTACGAAGCCAGCCTCGTTAACGTCGCCGTCGTCGTAGAAGTCTCGTCATATCTCGCAATCGCCACCGTCTTGGCCAGCCCAGCCACAATCTTATTCCCGTCCAAGACTTCCAGACACCTGCACACACCCTTGGTAAGGTGGCTCAGGATTAAGTAGGGGTCCTTGTTATCATCAATACCAAACACCAAAATCCTCCCTCGGTGTTCACCAGTCATGGCATAATCCGGGTCAGGCAAGAAGCTCGTCCCGACAATAAACCGTTCGGCAGGATTCCCATACGAGTCTGGAAGCTCAGCCCTGACAACCGCCTCAACCAGCTCCACGTAATTTGTCCTCTCAAGTTGAAAAGTCTTACCGACAGGCTGGAAAATAACCTCATCCACCAGCCTAAACGAGCTCTGGACAACCTCATCCCCGTCCACCAACGACCGCTTGATACAACCCAGACCAAACACCTTTTCCTTTGGCGAGTAGGCGATCCTACGAACCATCTCGCCCATGGGCAACTCGCGAACGTGTGTTCGTCTCGTGCGGTCGATCTTGGAGATCTTGATCTGTGTGTCCGTCGCCACAATGATCGAATCGGGGAATGCCTCTGTATCAAAAGGACAAATGAACATGGCCTCCTCTGCGGTGACAGCCGAGTATACTATCCTGTTCTCTTCGCCGTAGATCAAGCTTGGGTGCTCCGTCGTGGCCAGGATGCTGTAGATGCTGTCGTTGTCTTGCGGGAGGAGGTGAAGCCTGGCTTGCCGTGTACCCAGGATAACCTGTTTCTTCCCCGAAAACTCAAAATCGGCCGAGATGTTGAACGTGACAACATGGCCATCCTCCATGGCGATGAAGAGCGTTGGCCCCGACACCTTAGGCGAAGCCACCTGAACAAGCACCACCTCCCGAGGTATCGACGCGTCGTCCTGGCTCTGCCGTAGTGACTCCCCATGCATTGGCTCAAGTGTGTTCAAGTCAATAATCGACACCGTCCCTGACGTCCAAAACCCAACCACACCGATCCCTTGTAACTGCGGCGCAACATGTATGCAAGCAACCTGATCCTGCTGGCTAATATCCTTCTCCTTCACCAACCGCAGCTCGTTCCCAGCAGTACTGATCGACACCAGCCCCGTCCCTTCCACCGACAACAACAGCCACTCCCCGTTCGCAGAAGCATTGATGATGGTGTTCTCATCCCGAGGCACCCACGTCGCCACCGTAACCCCACTCTCAGCATCGATCAATACAACCCCCCTCGTCGTAACCTGCAAAATCATCCCACCCCCAAGATTCCTCGCCAACAACGTCTGGCAATCCAACCCAAAACCCATAAAGTCCCCCACCTCTTCCACCCCACCCTCAGAGTCAAACTTGAAAACCCTCGTCTCGGTCAAAAAGCTCACAGCAAGCGTATCCATCTTCCCCTCCCCAACCGCCCCCCTCAGCGAGAACACCCCCCTCACATGCTGCCCAAGATCCTCCAACAACAACCCCACATCCTCCAGCCCAACGCCGCTCCTCACACTCCTCAACGACCCATCCTTGTAAACCCCGCTCCCACAAACAATCCTCGCCTGCCCCGAAGAGTACTCATTCCCCAACTGGCTATCCTCCCCCCCTCTATTCCCCATGTCCATCACCGCAAAGTCCATAATCGGCCCAATATTCGATATCGTCTGGATCAGCGTCAGGAAAGGTTTGTCCGCCGGCTTATCCGCGCTCAAGTCAAGCTGAAACAGCCGCGAATCCCCATGGTGACTCGCCACAAACAGCATCTCATTCCCCAGATAAACCAGCTCGCTCGCCCTGCTCGTGACCCCAATCTTGGTCAAGACCATCCCCTTCACCTCCGCCCCGTCCGTGTTGATCGTCAACAAGTGCAACGAGCCGTAGTCATCCGCAAGGAAATACGTCTGAACATTGTACTCGGCCCACTTGACAAAAATGCTCGCCTTGTCAAGCTTCGATTCCACCGTCGCCTTTGTCACGTCGTCAATATAGAGCAGTCTCGTCTCCCCCACCACAATAACCCCCCCAAGATGCGGCTTAGCCGATCCCGTATTGCGAAAGTTGTGCCTCTTCACTTCCTCCTCCACCTTCCTCACGGGAATCAACATATTCGCCCCCGCATCCGCAATCGTGATATCAATGATCCTGTGTTTCTGCGCGTTGAACTCGCTGGCCACCGTGTTCCTGTCGTCAGACGTAAGCCGGTACGTCGCCAGCTTCGAATCCTGCGCATTAGCGCTAGTCTGGTATAGAAAAGCAACCGTCGGGTGTCCCGTCTCGTTATGCAAAAAAGTCGAGGCCTTGATAAACAGTTCCGCCAGCCTGATCTGTCCCATCCAGTCCAGCTGCGCCGCGTTTGTCTTGCGGGTGCCGAGGCGGGCGATCGTCATGACGCCTTCCCATAGGTGCATGGCGATGAACCGTCCTGACGGGTCGACAATCGCTCTGTCGAGGGACTGCGAGTTGCGCATAAAGTGCTCTCCGGGGTCGCGGGTCGCATTCGTGGTTTCCATTTGGGACGTTTCCGGGTTCCAGTAGAGGGTGAAGTACTCGAAGCGGTCGGTTCCGACAAATAAGAGGTCTGTTTCGGCGTCTTTTGGTCGGAGTTTTTGGAGCATGGCGATGGTGCCGTTGACGTTGGTGGTGTGGGCTTGGGAGAGGAGGCCGTCGGGGGAGGGGCGCCAGACTTCTACTCGGTTTGTTCGTCTGCATTCCGATGTCTGTTAGTAAACTCGGTTTGGTAGTATACAGAACGAAAGAAGGGGGTGATCCTCACGAGAGAACCAAGCTCTGCTCCTCTTCTGAATAGACATTGGCGAGCAGGGCATGGTCGACGCTGCTTGGCCGGTGGATTGGGGCGATGTAGGCCATTATGACGGAAACAATCTCGGATTTGGGTATCAATATCGCTCGCAAACAACAAGAGAAGAAGACGGAAAGAAGCGGCAGTATAGGGAGGGCTGTTGCAGAGCTTTGCGGCTCTGCTTGAAGTGGAGGACGAACGAACGATCAGTTGGATTGGTGATGCAATCAATTGTCGGAGATAAGATTAAGCTCAACCACTTTTGTTCCCGCTTATTTCCCTTAATTGCATTTGACCCCGCGGCGGCGCGTCGCAACACGCGACCCAACCCAGCCAACCCTCCGCTGTATTTACAGTTGACTTCTCTTCAGCGCATCAAACACCCTCTTCAACCTCTCCAACCCAACCTCCAACGCCGGCCTCGACGCACTAAACGTCATCCTAAACCACCCCAGCTCCTCACTCGCAAACACACTGCCCGTAGCCAACAGGATCTTATTCTCACCCAAAACCTTCCAAATATGCTGTTCCCTCTCCAGATACCTCTCCAAATCCCCCGGGCTCAATTTCCCAACCCTCAACTCAGGCGGTTGTCCACCCTCCTTCTTCCCAACCAAGTGCCGTCTGAGATCTATCCAAAGAAACATACCCGCGTTTCTTTCCCCATCCCATCGTCAGCATTTCTCCTCACTAGCTCATCCGTGGTGACTTACGAATTCCCATAATATCCCACCCCTTGCTCCTTCAAAAAATCAGTCACAACCTTGTATGACTCCCCCAGCAGCTCCCGGTTCTTCCCCAGGAACTCGTCAGTGTAATCGGTGTCCTCCAGCATGGCGGCCCAAATGTCCTGCACCAAGTACGGCGGCCAGCCAAGCATGGCATTGCTCGCCATCGCGCCCATCAGTCCCCTGTTCCGGGTGTGCAGCATCCCTAATCTGAGACCGTTGGCGCAAAAGTCTTTGCTTGCGCCGTACGCAACGTGGAGTTTTTGAGTGTCAATAGGGAGATCCAGCGCGAGGGCAGATGTAAACGGCACTACGTCTGTGGCGTCTGGGTTGTTGTAAATAGACTGAGCGTAAATCTCATCGCTGATGAGGTGGAGGTTATGAGCTTGACAAAAACCAGCGATGGCCCTGATCGTCTCTGGAGGATAACATCTCCCGAGCGGGTTGTGCGGGCTGTGTCAACAGTCAGTACCTACACCCCAACCCAAAGCCAGAGGTGCTCACTTGACCAGCATAAGCCCCTTCGCCTTGACGCCCTTGCTCTCAGCATTGCTGAGGGCCGTCTCCAGAGCCTGGACGTTCATCTCCGCGTCAAAAACATCGTCAAACCCTTTGTATCCCTCGATATCTTGAAATGTGGCCGGGATTATCACCCCTCTTGCTCTACCGGGAATGTCGGTCGCGAAAGCAGTGTAGTACGGCTGGGGGATGATGATTCCCTCCCCCTCGTTGCACAGCGCCCATGTCAGAGCATCTATCACGGGCGTCACGCCGGCCATGACGATGATGTCATCACTCTTTGCCGGCTCAAGGGGTGAGAACTTTCTGTTCAGAAAGCTGGCTAGGGCACGCTGGAGACGGGGGGAGCCTCGGGGGCCGTTGCCGTAGGTGAGTTGGCTGATTGGGTCGACTTGAGTGTTTTGCTTGATGAATTTGACGATTTGGTTGTGCATGAGGGAGTTTTCTGCCACGCCTAGGTTGATTCTTGTGTGTGTGTGGGTATGGTGTCAGTGGTGTGAGTCTTGAGGCTGGGTGTGTAGGTGTGTGTATGTGTATGTGTGTGTGTGGTGTGTGTGTGTGTGTGTTTATGTGACTTACACCCCATCGGGAGTCGCGGGTGACCACGGTGTTGCTAGACATTGTTCGAAAAAGCTCCATCCGCGCATGTACAGCTGGTTGTAGGCGCCTCTGGTGGAGATGCCGAACTCGGTGGCCGTGGCGGCGATGTCTTGGGAGGAGGTTTGCATTTTTGTTTTGTTTTTCTTTTTTGTTTGTTTTTGTTGACGATGGGTGGGCGTCGACAGAA